CTTTCCATTGTCAAAAAAATATTTTTTTTTAACAAAATAATAGGGTTTAACATAAAAATTAACATAATAAACAGTACGTTTTTTTTATTTAAAATCCGCTGATTTCGTGTTGTATATATAATAATTAATAATGAACTTATATTTTGATTTTAACTCAAGCAGCACTTTAATTGTTTTCGATGAACACAACACTTTGTGCTTTAACAATTTATAATAAACTATTATAACTTCATATAATGCAAATTACCACTAATCTGTTATTCGCGTTTTTGCCGTATATTGCGTCGAAGGTAAACCGAACCGCTTTCGAAATGCTCCTCCACCACCCCCCAATAATTCTCCTCCCGACTTGATTACTATTTAAGCAGAAATTGTGAGCGGTTTTTCTGTATTAGTTTGTCGGATTATCCAATTTCAATAAACCCATTTTCCAGTTAATTGTTCGTTGTAATTCTGAACGCCCGAAGGGACAGATCGACCAAGCAAGGGGTATTTTCGTAGCGCTACAACCACATCTTGTTCTGACACAAGGCTTCGAAAAATTACGAACTGAACGTTGCCTTCCAGCCAGTCCAAAAATTATTATTCGCATTAATTTCGTGAACTAAAGTTTCAATTAAAACTTCGTGTGGGTGGATATAACAGAGGGTAGGTACGTGGGGCTTAAACGGGTTGTGGACGGTGACAGCCGTAACGAAAATGAATTATTTTTAAAAATATAAAGAGCAACAGATACGTGATAATTGAATATTTTTAAAATGTATATTTAACACCATTCTAGTAAATACTGTGCAAATTTATTTTAATTTAAAATTAAAAAACCCATCGTTGTTATAAGTGACGGTCACATTGACACACCATTGTTGACATTACAATAACTGTTTATATAAAGAACAAATTTGCCTTATTGTTTTGCGCTCGAGATGCACACATATTTTTTTCTACTACTATATAATTGACTTTTATCATATGCAGATTTTTTGTCTATATTTTTAACCTTCGTTAATGATTTGCGTTATTTTATTTTATGATAATTTCCATTAAAATCCATTACTTGTGCAGTTACAGAAACAAATGTAAACATTAAAGGATTGAATTATTATTTTTGTTTCATATAAAACGTTCACTAAATAAAGTTCAGTCATGAAAAAAGTAAAACAAATTGAATTGACGCAGTGCATCTAAATCTGATTTACATGATTTAAAAACAAATATAAATGCAACTTCGTTGAACAAAAATGAATTTCATTATTAAGTTACATTTTATTTATAAGTAAATTCAAAATTTTACCATTTTTTTTTGTGAGTTGCATCACTAATTCAACCCTTATTTCAACAAGGCGGCAAAATGCAGAACGCACTGAATTCAAAGCACACTACGATGTAGAATAAGCACCTACAGAGACTTTGTAACATTATACAATTACAAAATTTTTTTAAAAATCCTGATTAAGAATATTTGTCAGGTCTGCTGGTATTCAACATCGAAAGAGTTTTATTGTCACCGCAATGTTATTTAATTCTGTTTACAATATGTCGATTTCTCCTGGGTGTCGCTTACTGATGCAATTATCCTAATTATTTATGGAAACGAAGGTCACATTCTCGTGAAGAATTATTCTTGTTTACCACAAAAAATGTATAAGTTATGAAGCTATTTTAAGACAATACACATGATACAGTTAGGTAAACGTCGACATCTGACAGTAACAGTAATTTCTTCATTTTCACAATTTTGTACTTACAGTGTACAAAACGTTCGTAAAACGTATTTATAATCTACATGCGATTTCTTTATATTTACTCAAAAATTTAAATTAGAAGAAATTTCAAACATATATATTTATAAAAATACTTTACCCATTTTCAGTAAATAACTTACTTTTATTTATATAAAATTAAAACCCATTTTTGCAAGGACTCCTACATCAATTTGGATAAAATTTATCCAAATTTTACAGTTTGCCTTTTTTTAATAATATACGTAGTCTTCTTTTTACAACAAGAAAGTTAAAACATGTTTCAAACAGGAAATATGGATTTTGCAGTTACGCTCCGCCCCTCGGTCTAACAACGAATGGAAAATTCATCACGATTGAGATACAGACGGATAGGTGGGGCTTATCTTTTGGCTTTTTTGCTTAATACATATAGTTTTCTTTGAGCAATACGTTCACTGAAAAACATGTTTCACATGGTAATTTTTGTAGAAAAATACGGATTTTGCAATTAAGCTCCGCCCCACTTGACTCACGATGAACAAAGAAATCGTTACAAATGAGATAGGGTGGGTGGGCGGGGTTTATATTTTGCATTTTTGTTCTTAATATACATAGTCTTCCCTTCACAATAAAAAACTGAAACATCATGGTGCACCTCAAATGAATTAGTTAACTAATTAATTTTATATAAAGACGAAATTCTCCGACTTCTAGACTTTAAACTACATAAAACTGCAACATATATTTTTCAAGGGATTTTGATAGACCGTTAAATTGCGACATTATTTTTTTTTATTTACAAATAGTTCCAACTGTCCTAAAGTGGCATTTCTTTATTTCGCAGATCACTCAACTTTAATTTTTTTTTTTGTAAATTTTATTTTGTTTTTTTTTTTCAAGTGGAAATGAAATAAATATCTAAGTATAGCATATCATTCTAATCGCAAATCTATCAAAATCTATTAAAAAATATATACGTTGAAATTAAATATATATATAGGTTTCGATGTGCTTCCCTCTTCAAAGTAAAAACAATGGCGTTTACAGAATGTCAGTATCTCTATCTATTGTCAAGATATTAGCCGCTGAGTTTTAGCTTAAACACCTTGTACATTGAAGACGTTACCATTGTATTTATTTCTTGCAGAGGGGGTGGGTGGGCGGTACTATTGTTTGCTTATAAAAGATTGTATACGAAAAAGTTAAAGTTAGCCCCGCCCAACCACCCGTTCTTTCATTTTTTTCTTGAGAAATAAGAAATGAATGTTACAACAAATAAGTGGTATAACAAAAAAATTGCGATTAAGGTTTTTTTAACACCCTATTCTAGTTCTATTAGTTCCCATTCTCACTTTAGAAAAGAACATATAATTCACTCCGCCTCCATTTCAGTGATTCATTTTGTATAGTCCGAATGAGAAATGAATCTCAGTTGAAGAAAGATAAAATCGTTAGAATGAGAACAGACCCTCTAAGAAAATAAAGGGTGGGTGGAAGGGTTAGTACTTGTTAAGATAAGATTGATTTTGGTATATGACATATCTTCCAAAAAAAAACAACGGGTGGGTGGGCGGGGCTAAAACTTACTTGCCAAGCTAGGACTGAACAATATTAAGAGTAGTCACTCGAACGAAGAAGGGATAGTGGGCGGGGTTACTGCTTGGTCATAAAACTAGAAAAATGCGAAATTTAGCCCCACCCACCTCCTTTCTCCATTTCACTGACTTATTTTATTCAATGTAAAATGGAAATTGAAAAATAACAGTTTTGTATTCCCAAAATTTTCTGGGAAAATGGACTGAGCCGTTCCTGATTTAATGAATAAAATAAATTGACACATTCATTTATTTTTTTGAGCCACCTGCATAAGCAAATCTAAAAAATATTAATGCAATGATAAATCACAAGTAACTATGGAAATTTGCAATTCAACACCTTTAAATTTCATAAGTTTTTACAAGGATTAATAAGGGTAAAGTCAGTTTTATCTTAACAAATACAAGGCCCGCCCACCCGCCTCCTATTTTCCCAGAGGATATGTCATTTGCCAAAATCACTCTTTATCTTACCAAGTACTAGCCCCGCCCACCCGCCCTCTGTTTTCTTAGCGGATATGTCATTTGCCAAAATCAATCTTATCTTACCAACAATGGCGTTTACAGAATGTCAGTATCTCTATCCATTCTCAAGTCGCTGAGTTTTAGCTGAAACAGCCTATATATTGAAGACGTTACCATTTTATTTATTTCTTGCTTAAAGCACAAAAAATAGGAATAATGTGTAATTAAATCAAAATAAAATACATTTGAGTAATTATAATTCATAACTTTGAAATGTTTCTTTATACATATTTTGAAGGTAATTCAAACAAGAAAATTGCTTTTATTAAAGCGGTATTCATTGCACCGAATTATTATTATTATTATTATTTTATTTGATATCCCTAAGTAAACAAAAGATGTGAAAGACGTAGGGCGTAGTTTAATTATTTTGTGTAGAAATGTCATTGTCATTGCCACAAATTGAAGTTAAATTATGTTGAGTTTAAAAAATCATAGGGTATGCTTTCAATTTTTAAAAGTATTGTTGGTTGCATACATCTTTTACTTTAAGGGGTGTACAATTTGGCAACGTCGATATCTCTTGACATATTTAACGCCTCCTGGTTTTCAGGGCCACTCATGTCAAAATTAACAACTGTGAACTGACATGTTAACATTGCTGCCAATAATTTAGAATCGCCAAAAATTCACTAAACTTGTTTTTTCATTCACTGCTGCCTCAGCTTGATGTAAGTCATTGTCAACATAACCTTTAACTAACCATTTTGTGCCACCTTGTTCACATTATTTCAGTTTTCCCGAAAAAGAATTTTTGTCACAACACAGTATGTGTAGCTGTTATCAGAGAGACGAAAAATTCTGTTAAACATGTTTAATTTTTGACACTGACAGGTAACAAATAACGTGATGTCAGTTTTGCAGTAGTACCACCCATACAACTGCTCTCGTAGACAACTCTAACTCGTTTAGTTTATGGCATAGTATCGGTACGAATATTTGAAAAATTGTAGGTCGTGTATGATTATTTAAATTATAAACAAAAAGTGAATTGTGGTAATTTCAGAATAACTAATATATCAGTTAAAACATTCTACCCACTTAAATAAAACTGGGTCGTTTTGTAGCTTCATGAAAACCACATGTTCAGAAAAATATCAATTTGACCTGGATAATTGTACATTTTTGGGTTGATATAAAAAAGAATAAAAAGACTTGATATTTGTAAAATGAAACAACAATTTATTTGAATCCCAAAACAATGCATTTGTACTTTTTTTTAAGAGGGACAATAATAAGGCCAATCTGCTACTAAATATAAACAACTTAAATTAAGTACCGTATGTACAAATCTGAAGTACCAACATGTGGAAAACGTACTTAGATTATCTCATTGCATCCTGTAATGCACATACAAAAGAACTAAAACCTTGTGACAACTAGTGACATTTTAGTAGTAAAAATAGATATGGTTATTTATTATTACAAAATAATTGCTATAAAATGTGGCTTAAACACATGTATTTACAATAAACAAAACTAGAATCAAATAATCAATTTATTATATTAAATATTACTTCTATAACAAAAATTATATATATATCTATATTCATAGTTAGATTAAAAAACAATTATACAACTAATTACAAATTATTAACATGACCTTCTTAAAATATTTTCTTATAAAGAAAACTCGCATCATTATAGAAAATCTACAATTTATTTACACCCTTACATATCTGTAGAAAAAACTACGATATTTTTTCTCCATTTCTTATTTTTTTGAGACTATCAACAAAAAGTATGTGTAAAACAACTTTTCTTGACTATGTAGGAAAATATGAAGCTTGCATTGCGGCAGTCTCTAGTTTTATTTTCGACATTTATTTATATATATATAAAAGTGGTTTGAGTGTTTTGATACAAAACATGTCTCCTGAAAGGTTCCTTAACTCACTGTAAACAATGCAAACGGCTTTTGTTCTTTTAAGCTACGAATTCATACTAAAATCACTCAACGGACATCGCTGTTATTACAAAGAATACAAAAAGTGCTAAATTAATTGATAAAATAGTGTTTACACGATCTAAATCAATAAAATGAACTAATAAATCATCAATAAATAACAATAACAGAAAATGAGAATAAACAAATTCGGGCACCCACAATGTCTCTGAATATCACAACACTGACGAGAAGCGAGCATCACTTGAGATATGATTTGTATAAAAGTTTACTTTTGCTAAGGTCTTTTTCCGTCTCAAATAGAAACTGCAAGTCCCTTAACGTCACTTTCTTCATCCGTTGCCGCAACGGCATTTGCCCCCTCAGTCCGCTGTTGAAGCCACCCATCGCAGCCTTTAAATAAAAAATACAAAATCACAAAAACGGAAACACTCAAAATGGAAAGCCTTACTTGTGATGAACTCGAATGTGCATCTCCGTCCAGCCTTGGCTTCTTCCGAGGTCCGATTGCTTGCAAAGCTGTCGCGTTTGCTTCGCGTTGTCTCAGTTCCTCCATCTCCACCCTCTGCATCTCCTTGGCTTTCGCTTTGAGCTTCGCTTGTTCGGGATCTTCAGTTTTCGATCGACTTTTTGCTGCCCGCAGCAGCATTTCCCGTTCAAGTTCTTCGTGTCTTTTTCTTTCTGCTCGGTCAACGTCTTCAAGGAATTTTAGTTGACCTGAAGGGACAAATAAACAAAGATTACACACAAGAAACAAGCAAAACATGTTTTTTAAACGTTGTAATTTCCTTTCCGACTAAAAACGACCGACAAATTATTTAAAAAAATATTCCTTTAGTTCATTTTTAATCTATTTTTCTGGAAGAAGTCAAGTAAAAGCCAATCGTAGCAAATAAATACGTCGGTTATCTGTAATAAATGTTACTTGTAAAAATCGAAATGCGTCGCTTATCGTTGCTAAGCATAATTTTACTTACTTCAAACTATTTAGTATGTTTAATTCGGCCAAAAATCATTAAACCAATTTTGACAGCCGTATTTATTACAAAAAAACTTTGTTGCATATACACGCCCACCTACATTTATAAAAGTAGCGCTTGTGAAATATCCTTATGAAAACACTCAAGTTGAAATTTAATGATCTCATAGATCTTAACAAAATTACAAAAATGTTGACTATGAAAATATATTAAATCTATTCTTAACATGTGTTTATTGACCCAAATTATTTTTAAACTTCTAACAGCGGAAATGTGATAATTTTAAACGGAATATAATTAAGTAAGTATTTGTAATACGCAGAATCCCGTCCATTTGAAGTGGATGATTATAAAAGATTGTACATTAAGTTGGCTTTGAAATTTTGTGAATTTGCCGCCTCGTTGTGATGACTACTCGTCGCCTGTCACAAAAGTCGATCATAACCAAACTTTTTACAGTGTGAGATGCGCTTGCAGGAAAATTGGGACTACTTTGAAGACTCTTTGTAAGAATGTCCAATTGAATGCAACTGCAGCCAGTGATACTCAGACAATATTCCTATTTCTAGATTAATAGATCATGTAGTGAAATAGGGAAGCGGCAAATTCTAATTTCATTTATTAGTGCTAAAACAATTCCTTATCTCACTTTTTTTTTAACATGACTTGAATAACCACATCCAATTCATTGTTACTGTATTTTTTTCTGTGTGTACAGGTTTTGTGTAATTTTGTATCCACTTTTTAAAAATTACCACTTCCGACTACGTGGTCTCTGTCAGAACTGCACCTTGATTTTGGTAAATGACTGAACAATATTAAGAGTAATCACTGGAATGAAGAGGGGGTGGGTGGGCGGGGCTTATAAAAATTCCGTATGAAAAAGTTAAACTTAGCCCCCCCCCACCCACCCATTCCCTCATTTTTTCTTCATAAATAAGATATAAATGTTATAACAAATAAGTAGTATAACAAAAAATTGCGATTAAGATTTTTTTAACAGCCTACGTTCTATGAGTTCCCATTTTCACTTTACAAAAGAACATATAATTCACCCCGCCTCCATTTCAGTGATTCATTTTGCCTTGCCCTAATGAAAGGTTGATCTCAATTGAGGAGAGATAAAATCTTTACAATGAGAACAGTGTGTGTGGGCGGGGCTAGTATCTGCTAAGATAAAATTGATTTTAGTAAACGACATACCCTGGGTGGGAGGGACTAGTACTTGTTAAGATAAGATTGATTTTGGTAAATGACATATCTTCTAAGAAAAAAAAAAGGTGGGTGGGCGGGGCTAAAACTTGCTACGGTAGGACTGAACAATATTAAGAGTAGTCACTAGAACGAAAAAGGGATAGGGGTCGGTGCTACTGCTTGCTCATAAAACTAGAAAAAAGGTAAATTTAGCCCCGCCCACCTCCTTTCTCCGCTTCACTCACTTATTTTATTTAGTGTAAAATGGAAATTGAAAAATAATAGTTTTTTATTCCCAAAATTTTCTGTGAAAATGGAGTGAGCCGTTCCTGATTTAAAGAATAAAATAAATTGACACATTCATTCATTTTTTGAGCCACCTGTATAAGCAAATCAAAAAAATATTAATGCAATGATACATCACAAGTAACTATGGAAATTTGCAATTCAATACCTTTAAATTTCATAAGTTTTTACAAGGATTAATAAGGGTAAAGTCGGTTTTATCTTAACAAATACAAGGCCCGCCCACCCGCCCCCTATTTTCCCAGAGGATATGTCATTTGCCAAACTCAGTCTTATGTTAGCATAAAATAAATTGACTCATTCATTAATTTTTTAAGCAAATCTAAAAAATATTAATGCAATGATAAATCACAAATAAAAAACTCATCACAATTTGCACATTTTGGGTAGAGTTTATTATTTATTAAAATTTTGAGATGATGTCATCAATTTTTTGGAGGGGATAAGCAAATATAATTTGATTAAAATTTTATCATGCTTATGATAACTTTACATCTGCAAGATTTCAAAGCATTCGGTTTTCCGGATTCAAAATTAAATTGCAAAATGTTGTTCTTTAATTTTGATTTTTTCCCAAAAATCTGGGCGTTTCGGGTAAAAACTGAACACAGCGTTATAAAGTACATGTGGATGACTATGTTATTTTATACAATTTAAAACCCATCACTTTATTGACGGGGATGATTAGGCACATTTTGGTTAGGTTAGTACACCCAGTACTTTCGGGGCTAGTTCTTCGTAAGATAAGGCTTACTTTGGCAAATTACATATCCTCTGAAAAAATAGGGGCGGGTGGGCGGGGCTAGCACTTGATATGATAAGACTTATTTTGGCAGATAACACCCTTCGAGAAAATAGGGGGCGGGTGGGCGGGGCTAGCACTTGATAAGATAAGACTTATTTTGGCAAATAACATACCCTCTGAGAAAATAGGGGGCGGGTGGGCGGGGCTAGTGCTTGCTAAGATAAGACTGACTTTGGCAAATTACATATCCTCTGAGAAAATAAAGGCTGGTGGGCGGGGCTAGCACTTGATAAGATAAGACTTATTTTGGCAGATGACATACCGTCTGACAAAAATCGGGACGGAAACGGGAGACCCATTTCTTCGTAGTCTAGGAGTCATGAAAGGTCGAGAAAACGTAAAAGTAGATGGTCGGCCGACGGACTCGATTACGCTTGGGAAGTTAAAAGTGTGAAGAACAAACCTATCGTTCCCTACTAGTTAGAAAACACGTAACTTAAAGCCGATTTTACAGTATACTTTAAAATTTTATTATTATAATTAATTCTTGTTGTCGATTTAGTTCTCAGCAGGTGGAACTGTTTCTAATATTAGCGATTTTGGACTGTTTTACTCAGTTCAAGCTTTGGTTTTTTTCACTATTTTAACAAAATCAGCCTTTTTCGGCAAATAACATACCCTTTAGAGGAGGGTGGGTGGGCGGGGCTAATACATAATAAATAGAGGACTAAAACTAACCCCACCCACGTCCGCTTTTGAATTTCATTGGTTTTTTTGATTAGATGAAAACTGTATTTAATTTTGTCAGGTGGTCGAATCTACGCTTAAAAAAACTCAAAGTGGCCCCGCCCACCCACTCGGTTTTTCTCCGGATCACTCGTTCTATTGGACAAAAGGGAATTTTATAGTGACAAAGAACGCAATCTAGGCAAGAAAACGCAAAACTAGTCCCACCCACCATTGGTTTTTTAATTAGATGAAGACTGAATTTTACTACGCCAAGTGGCGAATTAGGCTTAAAAATTCAAAGTGGCCCCGCCTACCAACCCGGTTTTCCTTCTGATCATTCATTTGTGACTTGTGTAAAACATGTTTTATGTCCTATACACCAATAAAGTTAATTCTAATTCATTTTATTAGACAAAAACGGGGTTTTATATAGATAAACATTGGAATCTAGGCAAAAAGTTAAAAGAAATATGTGATAAATTCTAATGGTGCCTAAATGACTGAGTCGAAGTGCGCGCGCACACGACGAGACGAAGTGAATATTAAAAGAATATTATTACTGTCCACTAAATATAAACCGGCATTTTTCTAATTCAAATTATTCACAAGCGTGATAATTTTATACAAACTTCAGGATTCTGATTTATCATTTGAAATGTTTTAATTTTGTAGAAATTCAACAAAATAAATGTTTCTCCTATGAACTTAAAATACATTAATTTTTAATGAAAAACACAATGAAAATTTCTAAAAGACATGTCCATAACCGGTCATCTAACATTTTCCACATCAATAAGTAAATAAATAACTCTGCTTCAAGCCCTTATATTGTTTTTTTCGTGATATCCACTAAAAATATTGTGGCAATTGAACACTTAGAACTTCTAAATTTATTATATTATTTATAATTATTATAAAATCTGTAAAGTTCCATGTAGAGAAAAAAGTTCCTTCTCTGAGGTACAACAAATACTTTTTTATTATTTAATAAAAAAAGTATTTGTTGTACCCCATGCATTAATTAATACTTTCAAATTGACGTCATCGACTCTTTGGTAGGGTTAATATATTAATTTGATATGCACGATGTAACAGTAGTTCGAACTTGACTCATTTGAATAAATTTTCGTAAATATTTTGTAATTCATGAATTCTTAAGAAAATTCCCAAAAAGTTCGTTTGATATGACTGAGATAAACTTAATTTTTCAGAAAAACTTGGATTTATTAAATCACTTTGCAATATTTATAGATTAGAAAACTTTCTTTAACCGTTTTTAATATAAATCTCAAACACTTTAAAATGACAAAACAAAAACAAAAAAAAGAAAAATATTCAAATACCTTTAACGTCATTCGTAACTTCGTATCGTTGGTCGGTTTTAACAATTTCCAGTCTGTGTTCCGTAATTACCGCTAATTTCTCAATAAGATTCTTGAGACGTTCCTGCGCCGCATGCGAAATACACGCAGCAACATCTGCGCTCGGCTCTTCGAGACCGTGTTTCATCACTATCTGTCTAATTTTTTGCTGTAAAGGTCCCATTGAACACATGATTTCCTCTTTGCACGATCTGATTTGCGTGCCGACAAACTCCGTCGACCCCAAAATCTTTTGCGTTTCTTCAGCGAGATTGACACCTCCCATGGCGGCGACATCGTTGATGTCGTCGTCGCCGGTGTACGCCGACGAGAACGATTTCTTCTCCTTCTCTTTGGCGGTAGGTCGAGAGACTATTGAAGGCACTGCGGGTTTGATTCCTTGGAGCTTGACCGACGTCATTGGAGATTTATTCTGTCAAAAAAAGAAAACTGTCAGCACGCAAACTTCGTCTGTCTTGATTCATATTCGATTCAAACATGGCACACTAGTCTAGTTACCTGTAAAGGCTGTCTTACATTCGCCCCTGCCCTGACTTGGTTCGCCGGATATACAGGGTGGAGCGCCGGAGGTTGTGAACTCGAAACTATCACGTTGCCCGATGAGTTGGGCTGTCGTATCGTCGTAACCATTCTGGGTGCCTGCTGTGTAGCACCTCGCAACGGAGTAACAAGCCGTTGTTGGAGGACTTGTCCTGGTCTGACTACAGCAGTGCCAGGTGCTACTATTCTGACTTGATTCGAAGCAAGACCCGGTCGTGCTGGCGTCTGAACGGTTGGAGTGCCGCTGGCTATGGAAAAAACTATGTTGGCGGGTGGAGGACGGATGCCATCTATCGTCAGTTCTTTTGTTACGAGTGAGTGGCGTAGCAGAGGGAGGCTTTTCTGAAAAGACATATATTTTGAAAAAAACACGAAAATTAATGTTATTTGCTTTACTTTCGACCTAATTTACCAAAAGATGGGTTTAAAACAGATCAGTGAGAATTTTTATAGTGATACTATTAAGGGTGTCGTTGCACACTTTTCACGTAAAAAAAATTATTGAAACCACTGTTTTTAAGACAAGCATAATTCATTAATAAAACAGACTGCAAGTTTATTATTCTTGTATTACAAGCCTGTGTTTAAACTGTCATCAGTTATTTTTATTCATATTAATAAAATGCTTTTGTAATTCTATATACAACAGAAAGTGTAAAACAAACTGAAACTAAGGTCGAAGATTTATAAACTGACGAATATTTCCTCAAAAAAAAATGAGGATAGTAAATACATCCTTCTTATGTACATATGTGTATATAAAAACACCCTGTAGAAATTGAAGAAGGGTTTCATATGTAAAAAGAAGTTCTAAGTAATCAGTGCAATAATTTTATAAATCAATAAATATTAAGACGAATATATTTTACAGCTAATTCAATAAACATGTGGATTGTCAAAGTTCTATGGCATATTAAATTTGATTTTATTTTAGCCAGTATTTTTTTAGATGATAAATAAATTTTGCTCGTCATTCTACAAATATTCAATAAATCAATGTTAAGCGTCTTACCGAAATTCAGTCCGTTATGTTAATTTTTTAATGTTAACCCGTATGGCTTATCTTAACAGAGTTGGTCCGCTTTAAATCATCACCTAAATATTTTTTATTTTTTCTTGAGGGTGTCCGGGTACTTTTATGTTTTCTGACATTTCATGACCTTAAGTCTATGAAAAAATTGGTGTCCCGTTTCCGTCTGTCTGTCTGTATATCGTCTCTCGTATCTGTCAATTTTCTTAGAAAACTATTGGACTGATTATTGCCAAATTTTATTTGTATTTTACGAATATCGTGCAGATGGTTTATGAGTCCGCCTCCATTTTTTTAATTTTATACGAGTCATCATAGAAAAATTGCAAAATCAAATTTTAGTTTTTATGAAGCTGTATTTGTCCCACTGAACTTCAAGAGTAGGGAATTTCTGCCTAATACCTTTGACCAATTTTTTATTTTAAGAACAGGTACAACAAAACATTAGTTAAAAATATCCGAATAAACACTGGAAACAAAAATAACACTATCACTATTTAGCAATGTAAATGAAAATAAATTCTCTTTATTGGCACGGAATAATGTGTGTTAAAATACATGTAAGACGAAAATTACAATCACTAAATTAAATATAAAGGGCTATCAAAAACCGAGTAATTTTTTTTGCTACTTTTAGAATTTTAATTCAAAATTGAAAAACTAAATTTAATTATTTTTTTTTTTTGTATTTTTAATCCGTTTTTTTTCCAATTCTGCCCCTGAAGTACAGTCCAACAGACCCCTCTACTTCGAAAAATTATAAAATTTTATTTTTGCAATTTTTGGTGATAGCCTCTATTAAGTAAAAAAAATGAATGCATTGATAAACCAGAAGTATAAACCCATGTTTTGCATATTTTAGATGGGATGTGTCAACAATAACGTTTACAATTTAGTGGGCTGTAGATAAAGTTGCATCAACGATTTACTACCATGCAAACAATGACCTTAAACCGTTAAAGTGAAATTGTAAAGTGTTATATAATTTCGCTATTTTCCCAAAAATTTGTATATCTAGCGTAAAACTCACCACGGATTCATGAACTACTAAGTGCAGGAGTATGGTATTTTATGAAATTTAAAGAACATTTACTACTGTAAATTTAAGTTAAGCGTTTTACCGTCTACTCAATAAACTGTTAAATTTGACAACAATCCGTCCAGTAGTTTCGGAGACGAACGATAGACAAACAGACACACGGAAAAGCGAAATATACTTTTTTCTACTCTAGAGGCCATGAAACGTTGAAAAACATGAAATTAGCCTTTCTCGGATCGACCCTAACTTACGCTCGGAAAGTAAAAACATTTATAATGCGCTGGCCATGACTAGAGTCCAAATTATTTCAGAATAGCATGTCGACATTGACGTTACAGGCGCAAAAGAGAAAAACACGTTCAGTGGCGTTCGTTGGTTTGTTTATCGTTCATTTTTTTCGTGTTTCGTTTGTTAGTGTAATTTGCTGTGTTTGGACTATTATTAGCTGTTTTATAAAAAAAAAAAAAAACACACACACACACACACACACCGACGCCACTGACGAGGCCTGCGCAGTCGTTGATGAGTCAGTCACCTATGCTATTCTCAAATAATTCCGAGTCTAAGAAAGTTATTTGGAAGTAATGACGTTAATTTTGCGTTATATTTATGGAAGACGAGTACTGTATTAAACTGTTTACTATGTATCAATGTAAACAAATAAGTTACCTTGTTTATTTCCTTCAATATTTTAGCCGTAAAATTCAATATCGAAATAATAATTATGTAGAACAAGTGATCAAACCAACATATTAAATTATTATTGCATTTGTTTATAAGACGTGTAGACGTCTATCGAACAATTGTTTATCGTGAGCAAAGATTAATTAACAAGAACGTCTGTAACTGATAAATTGAAGAGAAATTAATAAACAATGCACATACAGGATTTAAAAAAAAAAGGCCAAATGGGACGGTAGAATCTCATGCGACAAATTTTAAAGTTTAGTAAGCTAGTACACAATTTAAATTTTAATGCAACCAAAATCATTATTATAATTACGATAATTAAAAAAAAATGTCAAGCAAATTCCGCGCGTTTGCAAGAATTAAGTGTAAAAGTTTTCTTACTGTAGCAACAGACATATGCCATGTTAACGTAATAATATTCACTTTACAGTGGCGTTACAATTTAAATTTTGTTGAGTTATTGTGTCACTAACAGATAAGAACTTTGCAAGTACTTTGTAAAATATAGGTTGTTATAAACACCGCTGATAACAAATTTTGCTGAACTTGTGGACGTACCGCTAGACACGAAACTAATTCAGCAAACTACTATCACGTACGATGTTTTTGCGGAAACTGAATGGATGGTTTTTCTGACACATATGAACCACTAAACTTTAAAAATATTTTGGCAACATTGAACACTCCATGATTGTGTGTCCAAGCTTTGAAGCAAAATTTTACATTCTAAAAATAAACACAATCTCGTAGAACTTCTTTCAATTAAACGCGACAAACCACCATCCAGTACACTGCACTACAACAAATAAATAATAAATCACCTTTAGAAATCCGATTAGGCACGGTTGTGGCGATGCATTCAATAATCTTTCCAGTTTGTCACAAAAATCTTCTGGTTCAACTTTCATATCAATCAGTTCTTGTATAAGAGTCCTTACGCTACGTTCAACTGACTTGGGTTCTTTACTTGATAATTCTAGAAGGTTTGCTAGGAACTTACGGCACTTTTCTTTGGTATTGTCATTAGCCGGTCTCTGCAAAATCCACAATTTAGCAACAAAATTCGTTTCTTAGTTGCACTCCTATACCTGAACAGTCGTTACAGTCTGTACGTTCTGACCTTGTGTTGTCACTGTTGTGGTCCCACCAGCCACCGCGGGGCTAGTCGATACTGAACTCGTCGGCGCCTACAACGGGAAATTAATTAACAATAGTGAATAACAAAAATAATTAAAACACGCGATTAATTATACCTAGGTGAAAACATTTTTATTTAGTATCGTATAAGTATATTTTAAAATTGTTAGATTAATTGAAACATGATTTGCGGTACTGAAATAGCTGTCCATGCAACATGAGGTAAAGGTGTTTTTTTTATCACATGGATTGGATCGTCGACAACTGACGTAGATTACATGTCATGTGATACAAAAATACCTCTATCTCGTGTTGCATACCACTTTTTAAAGACAATTTAAGGTCACTTTTTGCAACACTTTATTTTTTAAGTAATTATAAAATGAATCATATTGATGGAAGAAGATTTTAGTCAATTTAATTATATTATTCTGCTGTATATACTTTTTTAGTATCAAGGACGTCAAGATTCAATAAGTTACCTATTTCCAAAAAACTTATGTTTCGTAACTATTGATACGGAAGTAAGCGACCGAATTACTCAAGAGGGTGCAATGATCAGTGGTGTTCAGTTCATCATTCATGGTATGACATAAAATTAATTGATGACTTTCAACACATCTTGGTGCAAGAATTTTCACTGTATGGAATATCTCACTATAAATATTTAAATCCATCAATAATCAACTTTCTAAACCAGTTTAGGTGACACAAGTGTGAAATCAGTATTTGCATGATGGTAATCAGATGTCTGATAACGACTTTAATTTTCAAGCGTTTTCTATGGAAAATTGCAACACTCGTTATTTTATTGGTTTCCATTTATAGCCATTTATGCAGTTAAAAAAATATCCTAGAGCTGTTGCTTCTTTCATCATCATTCATACGTATACAAATTTAATCAATTATATACCACTCTGCATACCTCAGGATCAGTTACAAAATAAAAAGATATACAAGGTTTTGAATTTAACAGGCAGTTCTCGCATACTAAGACATTCAAAACATTTAAACCCTTTTTTACAAATAAGAACATGTGTTGCTTATTTTAAATATATAAATAAATATGTTAGTAACTTTCAAGATTTGCAGTTTGGTATTACGTTGCCCAAACTGAATGCACAAATATATAGTCCAACTAATTTTATAGTGTGCTTATGGATCCACAGTAATAACTGTCACAAATATTTAATTTAATTTTGTTTTTACTTAAAAAAAAAAAAGAAAATATTCATTGTTCTACATCTCAACAGAAATTCGTCCCCACATCTGGCGGTCACTACATTTACTGTTTTTGAAGAATTAAACCAATAGCCACACTATAATTTTTGTTGGACTACAATTCTGCCTTGAGTTTAGTAACTTTTGAGTTATTACAAGAGATACTACAATAATAGTGAACTTACGGCAGCTACTGTTTGCATTCGCAACGTAACCGGCTGACCACCAGGTGTTGACGTCGCTGTGAGATTTGCTGCAGCAGGTGGAGGTCCCACCCTTAACAGTTGATACTGTCCATTTTCAGTCTTGAGAAGCAAATGACCTTGTTGGCCGGGTTGCAAACCGTGAAATGTTTGTAATGTTAATTGCTAAAACATCAAGGAATTTTTAGAGCACTGAGTAAACGAAACATCGACAAAACCTACAAAACAAACTCCTACTTAAAACAAGCACAACTAAAGAAACGAACCAACTGGAAATTCAATTTCTGAAATACTGAACAATCGAAGAACAAAAATTGTTTTGTTGTTACAATGAAGTACAAGAATGATACGTCTTCTAAAACTACCACTAAATTTTGCAAAGCTAGAGCGCTTACTCCTAGTCTACTACATTAGTAACCAATACACGTCGAGTCCGGAGACTCCGGTTAGTAACTAGTGAGAAATCGTTAGTAAGAGATCCACAATTAGTTGTGTTTTATCCGAAGTACGACCAGCAGATGTGTACACCAAATGTCGAACAAAACAATTCTTCAAAATAACTAAATTTTACTCAACAAAACTAAAGAGATTTTTGACACTTTCATTGCACAGCTTCACGGTTTTTAGTGAAATGGTTCTGCTCCTATGAGTGCAAATGGTGGTTTTTTAGTGTTTAGGTATGTTTTAGTGATCGTTGTACTCGTGTTAAGCGATTGTGTAGAGCGTTTTGAAGCTGTACGATGAAAATGGCACTAAACAAGAAATTTTGCAGTAGAATGGGAGGGTTGACGAGGAGCGAAAGCGTTAGATCTGGCTCAGCTAAAAATGAATCCCAATATTGACATGGACTTGTAGGTTAATTCATTTACTACTTTACAAGTTTTAAAACGTGAGTTCTAGAGCGTGGCAATGTGTCAAGCTGTCTTCAATTTTAATCGAGGAACTACTATTTACACTAGCCAAGTTTAACATAGTTCAAATGCACATTAATATCTTTGACGACTGCAACGTTCGCTTTCGGCTCATGACACAAACTTCATACTCGCATGATACTTCACTTTAACAGTATGTATATAAAATAAAAAAATATAATTATTTTAATTGATGTTTGTATCTATATTATTTAATTGCACAGAAGACTCGTTAAGAGCGTTAAACATTTCGTAGAAACATAAGACATTTTTAACACAAATCATGATCATGAAGTATTTCAAGCTAAATTTAGGTCTGTTCATACACAAGTTTAAAATTTTTCATTATGATTAATGAAGCCAACGCTTAAGACTTTCAAGCAACACACAGCGAAGTGACCAGACTTAAGAGAAAGTATGTTCTATTAATAAAAAACCAATTACAAACTATCACGAAAAAATAACTATCACATCAATGACAATTAGTTTTAATACCGCCACAATTTTTAATTATTTACGTACTCATTTAATGTTCATTAAAAATTAAATTGCAATTTCAGTTATTTAATAATTCAGTTAGTCAGAAAGCGAGCGTTGACATTTCACTATTAAACCACTTAAAAATAATTTTAATATAAATAAAATTCCTTTTCATATAAATCAAGTTAAGCAGTTAAATCAAGTAATAAGTGTTCATTTTTTGTGAACATTTAATTCGTAATACTATAAGTTACTGTGTGGTGTTTTTTTTTTTAGCAAAAATTAAATGGGAATTAAATTAAATTTCTACTCTGCTGGTTTTAAAATTCCAAAAATTAAGAAATAATTATTTTGCAATAACTGTGACATGAACTCATTCGGTTCCAAATATGGTGAACAATTACGCCAGGAGTATCGTTTTTAAAACATCAACAAAATTAAATTTCTTTCAATATGCAATTAAAAAGTAGTCATTAGTAAACATAATAAAAACACATCATTCATCACTCCTGCAATTATTTCTAAATAAACTATTTATCTACTTATAAGCAACAACAATGTGCAATAAATAAAATAAATTGTAAGTGTACTAAAAGAAAACTTTAGGGCTTAAAAAATTAAAATTATTCGATTAAACTTGCTTAAGAATAGTAGGACTTGACCAAAAATGAAAGCGTTCTCTAAACATTTGCGTGTGAAACTAGACCATGTTTATTTTGATGTGAAAACATAGGTTTGGAGCCAAAACAAAAGATTGTAAATAAACACTTGGTATGAAATAGTACTTGCTACAATTAAGAAAAGTAGTTATAAATCTGCTCTAAGTTAAAGTACCAGCTGTGACAAAACCATGTAATTATTCAACTTTCTCAAACTGGTCAATAAACTTGTTGGTTATGTTACTGAATGTTGTATACCTACAAACAATCCAATCTTAACAACGTTGTAGCAGAACTCGTCTGTGTTTGTTTTACAAGTCACATGATTAAAAACAATTCACTAAGCACTGATTAAAAACCGAGTGAATCACAGTAGGAATGAGATTTGTAAAAAAAAATGGGTATGAAGAGAAATGAGAGAAGGTTCTCTGTGAGATCAGTGCTGAGTGCATGTCGATAAGGGATACCTAGCTGATTAAGAAGCGCTCCGAAAGAAAGATGTATAGCACAGCCAGCCCGACCCTCCCATTCGACTGTTCGTTCGTAGTGTACACCAACTTACTGGAGCTCCTGGGCGGGCCCCGACAATCTGTGGTGCACTGAGCACGACACGTGCCGTCTGTCCTTTCTGCTGCTGTGTGGGAACGCCAGGCCGTACATTGACAACCTGGAGGTTGGAAAGGATGTTTGGGGACTGAGTACTGGGGCTACCTACGTTGTTCGCCGGAGGCACAGACGTGGTCACGTTCATCGGCACGGTGACCAGGCCGGGGGCGGCGGCGGCGGCGCACGTCTTGATCACCAGCGTCTGCTGCTTGGGGGTCGGGGGCAGCGCGCCGTTGGGCGGCAGCGGCACGCGCGCGCCGGGCAGCACGGCGCCCGCCATGGACTGCGAGTAGACGATCTTGACGGGGGCGGCGTCGGCCTTGGCGTCGGAGTCGCCGTTGGCGACCGCGGGGTGCTTGGGGGGCCCGACGGCGCCGCCGTTGGAGATGGCGCTGTTCACGTGGTTCTGGGCGGCGGCGGCGGGCGCCGGGGACGAGGACGTCACCAGCTGGTTCTCCAGGGAGCCCACGATCGCACTCACGGCCGATTCGTCCACGTCCGTACTCAGAGCTTCCTCGAGAAACTTAGCTGACGCCATTTTCCGAGACCCAACTGTAAACTGATGTGCGCGTGCGCCCTACATAAACATGATCGTGCCAACGGCTGCGCCGCCGACCGCCGACGGGGCCGGTGCGGAAAGGCATATGAGGCAAAACTCGCTCGGGCGGCTCTTTTAACCACTTTGGCGGCCCTCGACGGGCTCGGGGCGACGCGACAACTCGTCGGGGGCGGATTCACGCGCCTTCACGACGCCTTCACCATCGCCAACTGCTCAGTTTCGTTCACGTCGCGGAGGAGATCACACGGAAACGGTTTTGGCAAGTCATCTGACACGTCACCCGGGACCGCCAAATTTGAATTTTCGCACATTCATAACCACAATCACTGCCACTGCAACGAACGAACTAAATCGATACGATCCATCAACGGGACTAACGGGAGGCTTTGTTGTGATGCCTCTTGTTACCTCGGGACGGAAAAGGTCCTCCCCCGTTCACCCAAACTGATAAGCCATTGGCCTGTTCGAGCCGTTTCTCAGAATAAAGCATTTTGACGACAACACGCAGTTTTCCTTTTCTTCACTTGGATACCTGTTACTAATTACTTTGCCGGTTATTGAACACTACCCTGGAAATCGTTGCGAAACGACTTGACCTCAACGTTTAGGCAAAACGCAACACTGTAGTATGAAATGTCAGGTTAAGTTGACGCTTTTTTCTTTTTTCCGGAAAATTTCGAATAGTTTCAACAATTTTGTGATCTTTAACTAATGCAATCGCACAAAAGCACATTTTTTTCTATGAATGTTGGCCCTCAACTGATTTTTTTATATTTAAGCACTTCGTTTATCGCGGGAAATTCAAAATCTAGAACTGCACAGAACATACTAAACCAATGAAGTATACAATCATAGATTATAGAGAATTATATGGAAAACACTCAGTTTTAATAAACTGTTCCATTTTTGCCTGCTGCAAATAGAACATACAACAGTTTTCTCAATTCTATATTTCAAAAGGAAAATGAAATTGTAAAAATTTTCCAACCAAAAGATCACAGTCCAGAATTAAATGCATCCTATATATCTGACTTTATAATGACATGCACTACTGAGTGATTGTTAACTAAATCTCAGGAAGTGTGATCTGCAATATAGTTCTCTGTGTGTAATTTATTATTATTATTAAGTAGTAAACATTATTTGTACGATTTTCCACGGATAAATGCGACCCTAGAAACCCCTCTCAAACAAACAGGTACGTTTATGAGGATTAATTAAGATCAATAGCGGGCCACTTGGGGCTTACCGAAGACTAATAACACGCGTAATATTTATAATTCTATTTCCAAAACTTTGTTTTTTTAGATTCAACAAAAAAAAACGAGGCTAGATTTTTTCTCTAAGACAGCAGCGTAAACTTAATCCATAGGACTAAATATCGAGTAGAGTCCGGCAAATCGTGAACATTGATTTTCTGTTTCCAAAAGTGTTTATTGGAAGCCCTCGATAAACTGCTCAGGATTATAATAGCGACGATTCATAACGCTTGCCTGCTTTTGGGTTACTTATTATCCGAAAGGGTCAAAGGTTTTGCGAATCGGGCGTCTTTGACCATAATAAATATTATAATAGTTATAATAATAATAGTGACCTAACGGGAATTATTTCTAAAATTATTCATTTTCAAATGATTTTCCGTTATGAGAATGAGAGGTATTTCAAGTTTTGTTAAAGTTTGTCTAGAATTATAAGAATTTAATGGACTCCCAAAGTTAATTCGTTTTACAGCCCTGTTGTCAATTTTATTGTACAGCTGAAGAGCGTGGCGAACTCAGGTATAGAAAACATCGGCTTTCTCCTGACAGGCTCTTTACCTGTACAACAGAATTGACGACAGGGTTGTAAAACGCATTAACGTTGCGAGTCCATCAAATTCTTATAATTCTGGACAAACTTTATTCTTAAATTTTCTGAAAAAAGTACCACCCTATTACTGTATTTTAATTCCAGTCGAAATGGTGTGGAGCCAGCTTAAATTGATACCTCATTCGTAAAAACAATGAACAACCATCACATTTTAATGAAGTAGTATTAATCCTCAGTGTAATTCGGCAACAAGAGACTAAACTTGAAAAACTTATGGAGGAACTATACAGAGCTTGTGATAAAAGTTAAAATAGTTTCTTGAACAATGTGGAGTTTCCACAGATTATTGTGAATTTAGATGATAGCAGTGACAAGGACAATGGCGAGGATTTAAATTTTTATTTTTTTTTTAATAAATTTTATAACTATGTAAATAAATAACTATTTGTAATAAAACTATAGTAGTCGCCAACTAGTTGTTTAAGCACCCGAGTCGAAAAGCATTAATTAGTGAGACTATTTTTCAACATTTCAACCGAACCAATCTAAGTAGGGTTTGTGTACGATCTCCAGGTAGCATGTCCATCCATGTTTGATGGATTTACAATACCGGGGTTGGGATGTACTTAGCGTTCAAATCGTAAAAGAAAAGTAAAATTTTTAAAAGTTCAGGTGCATGGCTTGAATTTAGGAGTCATTAGTAAAAGCAATTATTTTTTTTTATATAAATTTTTTGTTAAACCTTTGGTATAACATGGTTCTTCTGTTTCCCATATTAAATAAAATTCTCTATTTTTCCCATGTAAGCCAAGTGTTCGTGTCTTACCAAACCAACAGAAGGTCAAATCGACTCAAAAAATCGATCAATGTTGAGAAGGGTTCTTGTTGTCAGGCCATTACGGTGTTCACTGTAGCGCATGCTAATAAATATTTCAGATATAAGGATTGCCATGTGTTAAATATTTATTATTATTTTTTGTGAAATGACCTACGTAAGCACGTTTAGTAAATTTATGTAAAAAGTGTGTTTATTGTAAAAGAACACAATAAAAATTTGTTAGAATTGCAACAAAAAGTTGTTAACATCTAAGTCTAATAAGTGATTGCCGCCGTCTTTGAAATGTTTTACTTAGTAGATAAATTCAATAGGTGCAGGTAGACTTCAAAATTCTTTTATTCCACTTCATTAACTTTGAGTGGTATTCAAAACAGGGTTTCCTAGAACAAGTTTGGGGAAGTACGCAAATTACCTGTCTTATCAGCAGCTGGAACTAAACGGATTATAGTTTATGGTAGGTGGTTAATTCTTGAAAAGATACCGCCTGTTCTCAATCCAATATGAAACTGTGGGTTTCTAATCGTTTGAATCTAAATTTTTATTACCCCAAAGAAAACTAATTTAAAACTGGGTAGATTGGGTAGGTACTTGCTAGCTGGAATAATATGCTGTTATAAAAATATTTTGCGCTATTAAAAAATCTTATATCTGGTGTATTAGCTACAAACAATATAATACTACAGCGCTACGAACTACCAAAAAAAAAGAAAATGTACTTTTCAGTAAATCCACATAATAAAGAAACGTCACGAAAACATAAAAAATTGGTCATTCGTCATAATCTTCGTTCTAAAAACTTCCTTATTTTGAGAAAGCAACGAGTAAATTAATTAGTTGATAGAATTGTTCTTTTTATTAATTTGTTTCGCAGAACGTAAAACTTAGACCTATTTAAAAAAACTTACAACAGTATTTACAATGCTGCGATTTTTTGTAAAGAACAAATAATTTTCAAATGGATACGATTTTTGGTTAAAGATACTTTTTGAAATAACAATGAAAAAAAAAGTATAGATTCTGGCCTACAAATAACTGACAGCACGTGTCGTAGTTGTAAAAATTCATATTTTTTTTTGAGTCACCTGTATAAGCAATTCTAAAAAATATTAGTGCAATGATAAATTACAAGTATATAATTTTCATATTCTGCACATTTTAGATGGGATTTATTCGTGAGATGACGTCATCAATTTTTGGGGGATAAACAAATATATGTATAGGTATATTTCGATATTCAATTTATCATACTTACGACAACCTTAAAACGTTTGCAAGGTTTCAGAGCATTCTATTTTGCAGTTTCAAAATTAAATTTCAAAATGTTGTGCAATTTTGATTTTTTTCCAAAAATTTGGATGCTAGGATTCATAGACCACAAGCATTGAGTATCTTACATTATAAAATAAAAATAAATTTACTATTGTAAATTTTGGAGATGACGTCATCCCATTGGTTAAAGTTCTGTATTATATGTGTCATGTATTGTATTAGCAAAGACATATATATCAATTTGAATAGGTGCAGTATAATACTAATAATAATAGTATGGTATACTTACTCAAATTATCGGAAAAGTGGGGTGAGCCGTTTATGATATAATCAAGAAAATACTTAAATATAATCCCATTCATTATTTTCTTGTCCTTCGTAAAGTGTTTCTAAAAAATTAGTCGAATGTTATTTCAGAACTTCCCTCGCCCCTGACGTGCAGTCAAATAAATCCCACTTCTCCGAAAAATTATCATTTTTTTTTGCGATTTTTGTTTTCTGATAACCTCTATAAAATAAAAACCAGTGGCGTAAATAACGCTCCCGCGGCTTATTTGACTTGAATTTTTTATTCAATTTTCAATTTTTTTTTGTTCCTTTATTTTTTCGATTTGCATTTTTCCTAGTTTTAAAGTTTAAATTTTTCAATTTTTCAACTTTTCAACTCAATTTCTAGATTTTGCAATTTTTCGATTTGAGTTTCTCAAGTTTTCAATTTTTAATTTTATGTGCAATTTTTCGTTTCTGTTTTTTATTTTCTTTATTTTTCAATTTTTCTATGTTCCGATTTTATAATTTTTTGTTGTTTCAATTTTCCTATATGTTTAGTTGCGGCCCCCCAAAAGTGCACGGTAATTTTCTCTATTGTAAATGTAGCTTCAAATCATGGGCGCTCGAATAACAAAATTTGTCAAATTTGACATTTTGTTTATTCAAAAACGCTGCACCACTGGTAATAGCCAGACTTACATTAATTTAAAAATTCAAAAAATTCCATGACAACGAAAAATCGTGCACTTTTGGGGGCCGCAACTGTAACTCATTAAATTAAAAGATTTTGCAGTTTTTCGATTTAAAGTTTCATAAGTTTTCAATTTTTAGATTTTTCAGTTTTTCGAAAAAACTGAGACAGTACAAGTTATTCTACGTGACTTACATTAGTAGTACAGTCTAAAATTATTGAACAATTAATTGATTGACTTGATGTTTTTTATTATATCTCTCGTTTTTTTGCGCCAAAAAATTGTTGAAAGAAAACTACGTATATAAAAAAAAAAACAAAAATTAAGCCCCACCCACCCGCCCCGATCCCAGTTGTGATGAGTTTGTCATTCCCAATCAGACCGAAGGGCGGAGTTTAATTAATTGTAACATTAATAATATTTTTCTAAAGAATTCTGCCCTTTTAAAAACATATTTCATATGGTAATTTCTTGTGGAGAAATAAGGATTTCGCAAACTAAACTCCGCCTGTCAGCTCATGATGAATAAAACATTCATCACAATTGAGAAGGGGTGGGTGGGCGGAGCTTATATTTTGTCCATTTTTTCTTAATATACGAGATCTTCTTCTCCCAATAAGAAACTGACAATATATTTGACTATCCTGTTATTGAAAGAAAACTATATATTGAAAAAGAAAACAAAAATTAAGCCCCACCCATCCGCCGCGATCTCAATTGTGATAAGTTTTTCATTCATAATCAGACCTAAGGGCGGAGTTTAATTAATTGTAACATCAATATTTCTCTAAAAAATTCTACCCTTTTAAAAGCATATTTCATATGGTAATTTCTTGTAGAGAAATGAGGATTGTGCAACTAAACTCCGCCTTTCAGCTCACGATGAATAAAACATTCATCACAATTGAGAAGGGGTGGGTGGGCGGGGCTTATATTTTGTCCCTTTTTTCTTAATATACGAAGTCTTCTTCTGAAGAAACTGAAAACATGTTTAACTTTCCGGTTGTTGAAAGTAAACGTTTACAAGATTTTGCAGTTTCAAAGCTACATTGCAAAATGTTACAGAATTTTGCATTTTTTTGAAAAATTTGGATATCTAGGGTAAAAACTCAACACGGATTCGTAAAACACAAGTACAGGAGTATGTTACTTTATAAAATTTAAATAACATTTATTATTTAGTGTCGTAAATTGTGTAAAGAGGCGCTAGAGAAAGAATTCACATGAGCCAAAAAAATAGAGACAACGATGTAGAGTAAGATCAGAAACGAACGAGAAAAACAGAAAAAACGAGAGAGGGAGAGAGAGAGCAAATGAGAGAAAGAGGTAGAATGGGAGAGCGAGAACCAGCGACAGTGATGGGAGGAGAGGAGAGCAAGAGGTAGGAAAAAACGGGTGAAAGAAAGAGCGAAAATAAACCAAAGGAACAAAGAACACGAGCCAGAGAAAAAGAAAGAAAACGAGCAACAGAATGAGATAAAGTGAGCGCGATAATGAGAAAAAACAAGCTAAATAAAGAGTAAAAATCAGTGGGAGAAAGAGACAACGAGCGGGAGTACAAGAAAAAACGAGATAGAGAAACACTGAAAACGAGCGTGCGAGAGAGTGAAAGAGAGAGAAAGAGAACCAACAACCTTGATGGGGAAAGTGGAAACACAGAAGTAAAGCGAGAGGGAGAGAAAACGAATCAGAGAAAGCAGTAGCAGAAAGAAACACGGAGAACAAGCAGAACGAAAACACACAGAGAGAGAGCGCATGAGGGATGAGAGGGAACAAGAGGAAGAGAGTGAACAAGAATGAAAAATAAAGATATTGTTAGTGAAAAAAACAGAATACAGACAAAAGAGAAAACGAGCGAGAGACAGAATACGTACGAAATGGAGAAAGAGAGGAAAGATAGATAAAGAGAAAACGAGCAATAGAGGGAAAACGAGCCAGAGAGGGAGAGCCAATGAAATAAAGAGAGAGAATGGGAACTGGAGACATTCATGGGGAAAGTGGAAGAATAGTGGCAAAAGGGAAGAGGAGTGAAGAGCGAGAGGTAGAAAAAAGGAGCCAGAGAAAAGGAGAAACCCAATTGACAACAATCGGTGCAGTAGTTTCGGAGATTACCTGCGTAATAAAAATTGACACAAACGACAGTCAGACGAAAAGGGTACTTTTTCGTACTTATGAAACGTCTAGAAAATATTAAAGTAGCCATTCATCTTTCCTTAACTTACGCTTGGGAAGTAATAAGATATTTGAATAAGGGTAAATTCGTTAGATAACCCAAAATACACCACTGTGTAGATGTGAATTATTTTACATTACACACGGGGGTAACTTTTTCTGAAACTTTAATTGATAATAGTTACAGTTCACAAAATAACAGAAATACAATAATATTTTTATCTTTTCTGTGAAGGATATAAATATTTCCTAAAATTTCTTGTTTATGAGATTAATTTAATCTGGCAGCATTATATCCACTCTCCCCTACGTTACGTGTTTCGGTAAAGTACAAGAGTGTCGCTCTTCAAAACAATGGACCACCTTCACATTTTTGTGGCACCTATCTACTGTATCCATATGAGTTTTACTTTTACAGAAAACTGAGAGCGTCTCATTAAAAAATTAGAACTACTCAGACACGATTGTGGCAACTTTAAAGTGTAGTAGTAAAGAGTCGACCGAATATTATATCACACACATATCGATTTAAAATGCACGTATGAGTCAGTCCAAGTGAAGAGGGAAATCCACTCTTTGAAATAATAACAATAAAACCGGATTTTGAGAATATATTCAATGTATTCCTTATCTAAAGATAATTCAAAATGGAGGGGAGCTCAAAATCGAAGTTATAAATTTATTTTCGTTTCTGTCTGTAATGAAAATTTTGGGCAAATTTTCGTACTCAGTACTCAATGCTTATCATAATTTGTTTGCCACCAAAGTGCTTATATTTGAGGGGGATAAGTTACGAAGAATTACAGCAGTTGTCGAAAATATTCTATAATTTGGCCGCCATTTTGAATTTTATTTTACAAAACATATATTTTTACTTTTACTGTAAACAAATATAATTTTTAGGGCTCGGTACTAAGTAAATTAAAACAAGCTGAATAGAATGTGTATCAGTGAGATCATCTACTACATAACGTTTTATAAGATAATAAATAATGTATTGCGTTATTGTAATCAGAGCAAAAACTGGGTGACCTACTTAATTTGAAGTGCTATTAAGATTAAAATAAAAAATAGTTGTCATTAAACTACCACTTTTCATTTCTCGTTTTTTGTTTCATTCCTTACATATAAAAATGAAAATGCAAATATTCAGGTTTAGAACATAGTTTTATTTACAGGTACGTACTAAATACAACAGTAATAAAAAATTAAAAATTCTAGAACTGCGTGATTGTAAATATATTGTAGAACGAATAAATATTTCACTAAGTAGACTTTCTTGTAACACTTAAAATTCACAAAATAACAGCAACTTTATTACAATTTACATTTTTGGGTAAAGCACTCTAAAAGCATAACAGTGAATGAAATACCTCATTTACAATAATCTACACTCATACATGAAGTGAGCGTTGCTATTAATAACCTTTAAAGTGTTTTAGAGTATATAAAGAAACAGTGGATTTTTTATTACCAAAGGCGACATATCCACCATTCGGTGAAAAATTGACTACATTAACATGACCTAGTTTTGCGTCAAAAGGTGGAAAGTTACTGAAAACTGTCCCAGAACCTACATGGAATAATTTAACAGAATTTTGTATATCAACAGATGATAACGCTAAAATTTCTGACGACGAATTAAATTTCAAATCTGTAATGCTAGTGGTTAGGTTCATAATGGTTTTCCTTGGTTTGGGGACTTTGCTGGATAAAACGTCGTCCACATTGTATAAATTGACAACGCCTTGCGCTGAACCCGCCGCTAGAAATTGATTAGAAGAAGAAATGGATAATGTAGTCCCTTGCAGACAACCCTCATCGGTGAACTTGTGGATAACTTTGTTCATGTTAACATCCCAGATGGTTACTTCCCCACAATCACTATGTCCATATAATAAATTACCTCGAGGGTTGTACGTTAACGCTGTCACCTCATTATTTTGCTTGAGTGTAGCTACACGTTCTTTTGAAGCCGCCGTCAGTATGTGTACTTCACCCCACTTGCCAGCCCCAGCTATAAATTTAGAGTCCGGTGAAGTAACAAACTTTTTGAATCGTGTAAGCCCAGGAGGCAGTGGAATTCTTGTAGACTTCGCAGACATTAAATCATAGCTGAAAATGTGGTTAACTCTTGACCCCAAGATTGCTTCATTTCCATTTAAAATAAACTTTGCACAGAAAATTGGAAAGTTTTGGAACAACACACTGTGCAATTTATTATTGCGCCGACCATCCACAGCATACAATGTAGCGACTCCACTGTGACCAGCCACTAGAGCCACTCGCGACGACGGGTGAAACTCAGCTGCATTAATAAACGGCCCTTCACTATACGTCTCACTATTCAAATCTTTAACTTTCTTAAACTCCAGCAACCCAGAAGCCAACTGACCCTCAGTCTTCTTCCTTATAAACCCGCAACTCCTCAAAATCTCGTCTTCTGAATCCGAATCCGGCGTCTTGCGTTTATCCAACGACGCCCATGACGGTGTTCCCATAGCCGCAGTGAACTTGTGTTTAAGCAAACTCGAGTATTTGTTTTTGCGACTGTTGACTCCTCCTGATGGTAATTTGCGCCCTTGGGCTTCCAAAGCCTGTCCCACTTCGATTCCGTCGTCATCGTCATCGAACCACGCCGGAGTCCGCTCTTTTGAGTCGCTGTCTGACGTGTCCTCACCTACGCCGGAGTCTACGTTGGAGCACGAAGCGCCTACTTCTTGCTCTGCTTCTTCTAAGCTTTTCAGGAAACTGGAAGCCCCCCCGAACAGGATTTTGTTTAATTGTTCCTCTTCGGCTTGCGCCTCTTCGTCGAATGGACGAAACTTATTCTTAGGGGCGTCGATTTCGTATTCTATGTCGCTTGCGATGGTTTCGTGGCGGCGTTTTCTGTTCTGTTTCGGCATTTTTGATACGTTTTAACAGAATTAATTGAGTTAGACTGGTTAAATGTGGTGAATTGGAACAACTGTCAAAAATAGAGAGGGAGTTTGGGGATTTTATGTTGGAGTGGTGGCATTCGTGGGGTTGTAGCATGCGCTTCTGACTGTTGATTATTTCCAAAGACATTGGAAAGAATAGACTAACAGTCCCCAAAGGGTGAGTGACCAACATCACGAGTGAAGCATAACAGGTTTATTTATCCCCTTGATACAGTGGCGGACGTGTTTCGGGGGCATCAGTAATACGAATTCAACTGTAAGCTAGGAAAGTATTGTAAAATACATTTAGCCAACGGATAATTTTATTTTCTCGAAGTTTCATAACTTTGAGACTACGAAGCAGTAGGTCTCTCGTTTCCGTCTGTCTGTCGCCTGTTCGTGATTTTATTAGACAGATATTCTGCGAAACTATTGGACTAATTGTTGTGCAGTTTTAATGGTGTGTTAAGAATTATCCTGTATATGGTAAAACGCTAACCAAAATTTGTCTAGTCATCCTCACCCACAATTTGATGACGTCATATAAAAAAAATTACAAATTAACATAGATATTGCAAAATCGAAAACTGCTATTCAAAATATATGTTTATTCTCTGCAAAAACATGATGATGTCACCTCAGAATGTTTATATTGTTTTAAACTGTTTACAGCATGATTCAAAAAATATATGAACGACGTAATTTATTGCACTGATTAAATCAAAAACAGTTTATTCTCATTTTCCCGACATTTTGAAAATATGATGTACAGTTTTGGCCAGAAAATCTTGGGCAGTATTTTTCTGTCATTTAAGAAAAGCACGATGTAGTCTAGGCTTTATTGTCATAATAATTGACACTTTTAAAAAATAAATTTTGACACATGTCATCCACATTCCAGTCTACGTTAAAATGACAAACATGACAAATTTGAGGTTATAAGTACGTAAAGCCTGTTTTAGAGCTTATGTCACTGGAATGACAGAACTGCCCAAGATTTTGTGGCCGAAACTGTACATGGCGACTTTTTAAATACCTTATGATTTAATTAATTAATTCTTAATTTAAAACATATTTAATAATATGGAATTTAATATTGCGGCTATTTTTTGTACTTTAAGTTTGTGGTGACCGAATTTAAATCAAAGTTTCGCGCTGAAATTAATTAACAGCGGCGCGAAATCGCATTTGAATAATTTGAATTTGAAAAAAAAAAGGTTCAATCACGAAAAGGAACTCCTTAAACATAGGCAACCAAATATGCATGGAAGGTCTCTTGCACGTAGCGCTTAGGAGTTAGTTGCATGATCTTTGGGTTAGATGGCAGCACGTAGCGCTAGGGTAATTTCAGTTAGAGGGTTGGTAGAAAAGCGGCATGGCGGTAGAATGTGTCATTCTGGTGTGTTTCGTGTAAGTGTAACCACGTGGTAAGAACTAGGTTTAAATTAGTTGGTTTGGTAGTTAATAAAACGGGAGGAAGCCTTTGTTTAACGACGATCAAACGTATTTTTCATAATGATACAGTTGTCCCCAACCCGCGCGGTAAATTCTTGCGCCCTTTTAATCGAAAATTGCAGACTTCCGGTCGGACGCGAACACGTGTTGTGAATCTGTTTCTTTGTTTGTAAATTCACCAATCAAGCTAGTTTTTCTTAATACTCAGCTAGAGCAAACACAATTTAACAATCAGGATTATTTAAATTAACCATTTGCTAGAAGATTTCATGAAATTCACTTAGTCAGGAAAAACACCTTATGTTTAATTACGAATAGGTCTCTGGATGCATATACGTAAGTGTTACATTATAACACTTCTAAATTCTTCACACAAGATTGCTAATAGTTCATTTACGGCAGTTAAACAAGTTCATTATACTGCGGACTGGCGGGGGGTTATGATATTTTCTCCCCTTAGGTGGTTATCATCGTTATCACGATTAATTCATCGGGGCATGTTTCGCAACGCCAGATTGATTAATTAATTAAGGCATGCCCCCAACGCTACAGAAAATTCACGTTACCGAGACGCTTTTTCCTCGCAACGATTTTGGATTTTTACATCACCGAGACGCTTTTTCCCTCGGAGCGATGATTGGATATTTTTGTGTTTGTTTATTATGTGTTTTGTTGGGGTAACCAGTTCGTAGTATTTTAACTTCTCAAAGTAAATTATTTTTGAAGTAACCAATCATTTAGATCATGATATAATTTGGCATAATGTAAACTCTTTGTTTGAACCGTTGATAAAGTGTGGCAAAAATTAATCTCATGTAAATTTTGTTAACTCTGCAAATTTTCACATCATACAATATTTCTTTAATCTCACAATTTTAACCTCAGTAATTTTATTTGTTGTATAAATTTAATTGAACGTAAATTTCATGTTCTACAGTTCTAACCTCACATAACATTTCTATTTGTACAAGTTTATTTCACACCAGATCTTTCGTCTCATGAATCCTTGCTAAGTTTTGTTTTGTAAATACTTTGTTGATGAATGTTTTCTATCATATAAATTATTTGATGTCCAACTTTAATCCCACATAAGAATTATTTGTTGTTTAAGATTTCACAAGATTGTATGGCGAATTTAAATGTTGTTTATTGCTCTTTGAAACTTTAACACTTGTTCAGTTGTTGTTAACATCAGAGTTATAAGAGATTGAATGTTTTAAAATGGAATTGAGGTTAAATGACACAGAAAACGTGGCAGAAGCGAGGTTTGGTTCCTAGTCGAGCTGGCGAGATTTATCGCGCCACCTGTACAAGTCCACAGGTTTGGATAGATTCAGGGGCGGCCGCCGATGTTGTAAATTTCTAGGCTCCTGTACATAGCCTAGATCTCTTGCGGGTTGGACGACCGTAATGGCCTAGTTCCGCAGGGCAAAGTTCGTCATGGGATATGCGTGTGGGGTAGGCTTTGCGATAGATAGAATCACCGTCGCGGGGGGAGAACAGTTCCAGACCGGTAGCTCAGACTCCGCTTATGTCACAACGCTCCAGGGGTACTTTTCTTGTGCTCCTGTTAACTGCCGTAACAAAAAAAAAAAGGAAAGGAGATCGGCCGCCACACGCCTGTAATAACTTGTGTACTTGCATCCAGTTACTTGATTCAGTTTTTGCTTTGTTTTATTAAACTTGTGATATTCCAATATTTGCATTGATTCCAAACAGATGTATAGAATTTTCGTTTGTTCGTTTTCCATATGTGTATGTCTGTAAATTCGCGAGTGTTTTTCTTCCAGTCAATTCGCGAGTGTTTTTCTTTCAGTCAATTCGCGAGTGTTTTTCTTTCACATATCTTAAGGTGTTTGAAATGTAATAAAATGTCGTCCGGGAATAAAACCAAGGGGGTTTTTGCGCTGAGGGGTAAATCTTCGCAGCGCCTTTCCCCCTGTGAGGGTGGTGCCGTTTCCCCCCCTCCAAAACAATTTTTGTCTATTATTTCTTGCGCTCTCGACAGTGTATGCACTTGTATGAAAGAACTTCTTCCCGCCATTTTTCAAAAGCAAAAAAAAAAAAACACAACGTAGGTTCTCATTTGTTAGACGATCACAGCCAAGGCCAAACTTTGAATTTTTAAATTTTTGCGGGCCTTTCAAACTGTTTCAAGGTCAAATTTTGAAGCGGGAAGTTTGGGTTATCACAAGTTAAATTACGAAAATTTATGTGAAATGAAAGTTTTAAGTTTGCTCCGCTAGGGGCACCACTACTGTCTGTTGCTAACACATACTTATAGAAAATGTAGACGGCGTTCCTATCATGTGCATATTCTTGATTCTCAAACGTCAATTGCAATGAGCCTGCGGAATAAAAATTTCCATGATCGATGAGTTATAGGTTCAAAAATCAGTATGGTCACAACGGCTAGTGATAAACAAATTAAAAAGTCCCTAGAAATGAAAAATATAAAATTGTAGACCATCGCTGTAAAATTAAACGCACATTTTATATGTATATAAATACACATGGAAATACCGAGTGTCTACTTGCTAAGATAAGACTGATTGAGGCAATTGATACCCTCTAAGAAAATACAGGGCGGGTGGGTAGGGCTACTAATTGTTAAGATAAGACTGACTTTGGAAAATTACATATTTTCTAAGAAAATAAAGGATGGGTGGGCGGGCTAGTACTTGCTAAGATAATAATAATACTAATGTTTGTGATTATTTTATCAGGTTGGTAACATATTTAAAATTTTATGATGACATATCTGATGTAATATTGAAATTTTGGGCCCCAGTTCAGTAGCTTCTCAGTGGTTTTTATGTGCGCATAATTGCCAACTTAAAAATTTGCTTCTATCATTAACAGACATCTGGTTAGAACATGTTAATGTTAGTCCTAATTAATATGGCCTATATTTCAAGAATAATTTGAAAATCATTCTAACATCAAAGTCGTCAAACATAGTCAACGACAGAAATACGTGGTAAGCTCTGTACATATATGTGTTATAATTATAAATTATAAAGTTAGTGGAACTAACTTATAATTAATTTAGGGCGACTGAGAATATTCACCTAAAATCGAGACAAAACTTAAGGACAGTTTTATTCAAAAAATATTTTGCAGTTGTCATTTACTAATGTCATAACTTGTAAAATGTGCTTTATTTAGATAACCTTAATTTACTGACAGTAGTGTCATATTTGTCGGATATTAATAATATCAAAGGCATCGTTTGACAAAAGTTTGACAAAATAGACTTTTGAAAAGTGTCAAAATGACAGTAAAGCTTGTATCACACATGATTTGTCATAAATGATAGAATGACAGTGCCTAATATTTTTTGAATAAAACTGGACAAAAAAACGTCATTGCGTTAAAATTTTCAGGGCATGCGTTTAGTCACAATTCAAGGTGGAAAAAATTTAGTGTCAGTTATATGTCAAGTAAATATTCAAGTCCACATTATATCTGTCACTCTGTGTCTGATTTGACATTTAAATGTAGTGGCCAAAGTTTCAAAATTTTGACAAATCAAGTAGGCTCTTACTGGGAATCCACTTTGCCGCTAAGTTTTGGCTACGACTTTATTTAGTTGTAACGAGCCAAACATTTTCAGTAGACTAAATAAATTTATCGACAAGCAAATATTAATTATTATTAAGTAAAATTAACAAATGATTGTAATTATAGATCTTAATTAATTCTAATTAAATCTAATTCACGTTAATTGTGCTTAAATGAATGGTGTAATAATGACTTATTCAATGGAGGATCAATATCTGGAGAAAAGAAAGTAAATAAGTTTTGTTTGACTTAAAAAAAATCGAATCATTGATAATCATCATTGAAAGAATTCGTTATGAATACAGTTAATTGAAGTTAATTAATTAAGGCAACTGAACAAAGGAAAATTGTCTTAAAACTTGATCATTTAAATTAAACTGGCATCAAAACAAGAAATTTAAAATAAAATGAACTATGATTTTGTCATCCCTAATTTTTAAGATATTAAATTAGAATTAATTTAATTAGATCTAATTTAAAGCTCTAAACTAAACCCGTGAGTTTTTAGTGACCACACTTTGAACGACACCTCGGAAGTAACGGATCACCTAATTTAATCATCTTGTAATGTTTTTTGAAATATTCTTTAAAAATCCGGAAGGATATTGGAAAACTGATTAAACACAATAAATCGATTAAAATTTAAGTACGTTAACTTTGATTAATATTTTAAGTCAGTTATTAACACAACATGGAAAAAATCATACTATCATTGTGATAATAACACAGTAGGGATAAAAAGAAACCATTTAGGACTCGAGTCATGATGATTGACATGAATTTTTCTTTAATTTAGTGTGCAAAATTGGTTTAAAGCTATTTTGTTAAAACCATTTTTGTAATGTAAAATGTGTTTAAAATCAAAGGCGGATTCATAAATCACAAGTATAGAAGTGTGGACGTGACGTCATTACATTGTTGGCGGGGATGATTAGACAAATCTTGGTTAGCGTTTTACACGATATTCCTGATTTAAAATTTGACAAAAATCGGTTCTTTAGTTTCGGAGAACCAATTGATTCGTACTCGAAGGGAATGAAACGTCCAGAAAACATGGAAGTGGCCATTCGTCGAATAGATCCTATTACTACAATATTTCCTTAGGCAATGCACGGGAAGGAAAAGCTTAAATTAAAAAAAAAAAATTCCGCTTGTGAACTCAAGGTTTTTCTTAAAATTTCTTATAGCTGTCTAGAATACTTCTCAAACTATGAGCGGTATATTACTTTAACGAAGTTTGCGGGATAGCCGTAAATTATTTATGTAATTAACTAATTAATTAATTTTTTGTTACTTGGAAGATTTTATCTTAATTATTATATATTTAGAAAATCAAAGTCATTTAAACAAATAAAAAAATGTAATCACGGTAAAAACAAAGAAAATAAACAAAAGGAGATAATTGTGAAAATTTGACCGGCGCATCCACCAGATTTGATATTGAATTTACTGTGTTACTGAAATTTTCATAGTGGGAAAAAAATCTTTTACCTTCTCTATTTTCTAGTTTATGGTGGTTCTGATCTTTTACTATTTCTTAAGTTTTTTTTAATTTTTCGTTGTCTTTACGAGGTATGAGGGAAAATAAAAAAATGTGATAGTCGTCATGTGTCTTTATTTATTTCTAACTGTAATAAATAAACATTATCTCATGTATTTACAGAAACACATATACGATCGACACATGCTAATGAAAATGGAAATAATTTATCAGTGATATGTATGAATTAAACATCTATATAAAAACGTCGACATAAAGAGCTTTGCTTATGTGTTACAAACAGGGTGTGGTTACACAATAGAAATTTCTTGAAACTTTTTTAATGGAAACGATTTTATAAGAAATGTGGTCCTAGAGGATGTCGATTAAGCTGTACTGTGCAACACATTGAAAAATCGAATTGCCGGGTTTAAAGGCGCTAATACTAATGTGCTATGCTTATCTAAGCATGACTTAATTCACGCACTTGATTGTCTCGTGCCTTTAAATTAAATTAAGATGATTTGCATGTGTTTGAAATTATAAAATTGTAAATTGTACTTTTTTAATAACAATACACACATGCTAACCAAAATAATTTTTGTCGAATGGAATTTAGAAGTATACTTAATTATTGGTTTCTCCAACAAGATCGTGTTTATAGAAAATATTACGTTATCATACTTAAAACTAACTATACTTAAGTTTAGGATTTATATCTAAAATATTCATGCCTGTATACATCCTTGGTACATTATGAATCATTCATACTATCATTTATTTACAAAGGTTCTTATTTACAAGGTAAATGGCACTGGAAATTTTACGTTAAGTAAGTACGATCGTTATAAAAATACAAATACCTAACAAAATAATCACATTTAATAATGAGACGCCTCGAACTAAAATGGTGATTGGATAATAAGAACCGAAATGAGTGTGTCTTGAGCCTTCATCGTGAAACAAAATAGCGCTACCATAAATGTGGATCACAACTTTGACGTGTTTCGGCAGTTAAATATATTCATCTTAAGTACACAATGTAAAATTCAATAAAGATACCATTACAACAGCATTTTTCGTATTTTATTATATTTAGACTTATATCCTACACATTTCTGACTAGAATGTACATCCCGAACGGGTAATTGAAGGATTTGTTAATTCATTGTAAGTGAATCCGCAAAGTAGGTGAACTACTTTCCAAAAATGGTATTGTACAAAAACCAACCAAAAATACACTTAATAATTATACCATGTAAAGTGTATGAATCGACACATACAGGAAGCACGTAATTAAGAAACAGGTCCTTTAGAGTCTAAGTTAAAAATTATTGAAGAAACTATTCGGTACCCAATTTTTCTCTTTGAAGGCCTTCCATCATTGACGTCTCGTTCTACTCAGTTCCTCGAAAAACTGTCATACCGAGCAGCTGCCTTGGTCAATCTACAACTTGATAGAACGATATGGTTTAATTTGCACAAAATCAGTGCGATATCACAATGGGTTCACATTCATGAAAAAAGCTTGAACAACCTTATTTACCGAGTACATGAGGGAATGTTGGAAACAAATCGGTCCTTATAACCTGCATCAGTGAACATTCAAATCGTAAAATAAGAGACATCGAGTCCATTCGAACACAACATACACAGTCAAATATTGATTAACAGTCGTTAGGGCCAGTTCACGGGTTACACTTGAGTGGGCGCCGGCATATAGCCCAGGTTCTTCCTCTGCAAGAACAAGTGGATCTCGGCGAACCGAGGTCTATCAGTCGCGTTCCTCTTCCAGCATTCGCCCATTAGATCGTAGATCTCGCGGGGACAGGCCGCCGGTCGCGGCAGGTACCTCTGACAACCGTCGTTCTGGTACCAGTGGTTGCAGTTCTCGACGACTTGCTCGCTGGTGAGTTCTGCGTAAGGCTGCTGGGTGCACAACATCAAGATTTCCCACAGGGTCACGGCGAACGCCCACACGTCGCTCTTGGTCGTTTGTCGGCCCTAAAACAACGACAGTTACAAAACACACGTCACAACATTCTATTCTATATTTCTAAGTTTCATTGTATATCTTCCAAATTACATTTCTAGTTTCAAGAGCTAGAGAGGAGAAAAGAAAGGAAATGAGGACCAGACACTCCATCGAGAAACTGTGAGAAGAAAAAGTATAAAGGGAATTTGAAAATGAACATACAACATGAATGTAAGCAAGCGGTGGCAAACAGGAAGAGACCAAGAAAGAAACAAGAAAAAGTATGTGGAATGCGGAAAGTGGATAAAGAAGACATTCATGAATACGAAAAGAAAGCAAGTAGAACACATACAAAATTTAGAGGCTAACTATTCAAAAAACAAGGAATACAAAACAAGAAAAGAAAACTTCAACACAGTAAGAAGTAAGTAAGAATATTTCCCAGAAGTATATGGGATAGAAGAAGAAATAATACTTCCGATTTGAGAGGTCTACAAGAGGGAGAAAAGCTAGAAGAGTCACAAAAGTATGGCAAGAAGATGGAGAGAATTAATGATCTACCCAAAAACACAAAAAAGGAAAGATGATCATGTGTGAAAATTATAGGGAATAGCCTTGATGGATAATGTTTACAAAATCACAGTAGTAGCGATAAAGAACAAACTAAACGAAGTAGTACGGAAAGAAATGGAGCAGTAGCAGGGTGGAATTCGAAAGAATAGAAGAGTTAGCTCATGGCATATGTGGACGATATTGTAATATGGAATAGAACGACGGATTTTTGAAGCTTTGAACTTTTGCCTGTGATCGTTCCATTTTCAACTTAAATTTTCAAATTGATGCTAATCTGACAAGACAAAATTTTATCAAAAACGAATCTTCAAAAATTGACAGCTGTCTTTGATCATGTTTTTATTGTTGTCTCGAGCATTAGCGAAAGACGTATTTCAATAAGGTCAATCCGGCCCCTTGAGTACAAAAAATAGGTTCCCCGTTTACATCTGTTTATGTCGATTTTTATTATATTCCTATACTTCTAGTTTATGAATCCGTTTTGAATTTTAATCACAATTACTTTACAAAAATGTATGTGTGGATCGTAGTTGTTTGCGTGAGGGCGTTGGATTTTAAAACTGAGATTACACACTCAGTTCGAATGAGGTCCGCATGCGTGAGCTCGAGTCCTCGTTGACAGTTTTTCTAAGACAATGAATTTGTTTGAATGTTTGACTTCAGGTACGAGAGAAATTCTGTCTTAAAACGAAGTTTTCACATACATATAGGACATATAATTTCGTCCATACTCTCTATTAGTTTGTGTATATTGTGTGAATCTCGGGGATCCTTTTATTTTTGAAGTAGTTTGAAAGAACACCAAGGATTCCTTAGGGGCAATTCTGAATGAAACCTGTTAAAATTTAAAGGTTGTTAAAATTTTAAAGGTTGTTAAAAATGAATCTCTATTCTGTACTGTTTAATTTTGAAGTCCGTTTAATTTTAACACCCTTTAAAATTAAACATCCGACAAAATCAAAATTTACTATTCTAAAACATCAAATTGATGTTAAATTTTAACGAGGGTGTTTAAATGAATCCGTTAAAAGTGACAGTTTTAAAGGATCCCTCGCTAGTACCCTTTAATTAACAAAAAAAAACAATAATGGCGTACCTGGACGGTATTTTGCATTTATTTATAGTAAATTATGAAGAGAATTTACAAAGAATGTAAGTAGTTATTAATAAATCATCAGCAAAAAAGTGAGGCCCGTTGATTAATTTATTTTTCACCTGTCAATTACTGAACGATAACACCTTGGAAATGGTAGCAATTAGCACCCTCGTAATTCTCCAAATAATAATTGCCCGCAAATTGCAAGTTAATTTTTATGGTTATTAAATAACAACATAACTACATTTGGAAAAAAAAAAAAATTTTAATTAACAATTTACAAACATTTCATACCTACTTAAAAATATAACGAAAATAATTTCTATTATCATTTCCCAAGTAAAAAATACAATTTTCAATTACTTAACTAAATTTGACGCTCCTATACTGTCCTCTTTTATGATTGTGAAGCTTTTCGAGGCACCAGTCTGCTATTTCGACCACTGAAACAAATCATTTGTCTTCAATGTTGTTGATGCGCAGCTTGGCCAGTTCCTCCCGCATTAAACCACAAAAAGCACTCATTACTGAAGCAACTTTATGCAAGTAATAAAAAGTTATCATTTGGTGCGTTTTTAATAAAAAGTAACACTTCTCCCTCAAGACACTGGATTTTTTTGGAAACGTATCATTTTCAGCTAATTTCAGAAAAGCAATCACATATATAACTATTATGTGTTGTTCAATATGAACATCAAATCGGATGATAAAATTTCATAACCTAAAACCAATACATTTTACTTCAGTTTACTTGAGTATAAACTTATTTACCGTGGAGTTAATTTCTTATATTCTTATAAGTGGCTTCCTGTAGTTAAATATGGTAATTGATGCCAAATTATAAATTATCCAAAAATCCAGAATAAACTTGGATTTGTTTTGAATGTTTTGATTCACTAATTGCACTCCTAACCTCACAAATTGTGATCACCGTTGAGCACGTACCACTTGGTCTCGGTCCGTCTCCGTCTGCTTCTTAATTTTATATTATAATTTATCTATACCAGATTTTATGTTTAAGAAGCTCAATTCCAACAAAATTTGAATTTATGATAGTAAAGTTAAGGCATCTTTAACCTAAAGTAGGCCACGAAACACACTGGGTAGTTCGTTTAAACCAAATTAACGAAGTCTTCCGAAAATTTAAACGGATCCGATAAAAATATGTCAATTTTAACAGGGTGTTAATTTATCGGGATCCGGAATACCAATTAAAATACACATCCGACAAAAATCTTGATTTTTAACAACCTTTAAATTTTAACAGGTTTCATTCAGAATTGCCCCTATAGTCTCTTGTTTTTGAAGTAATTTGAAAGAAGTTCGGGGATCTTTGGGTTTTATTATTGAAGTAGTTTGAAAGAATCTCAGGGACCACTTGTGTTTTGTTTTTGAAGTAATTCGAAAGAATTTCGGGGATCTTTGGGTTTTATTATTGAAGTAGTTTGAAAGAATTTCGGAGATTCCTTGTCTTGTTTTTGAAGCAATTTGAACGAATCTCATGAACCACTTCTATTTTGTACATGAAGTAGTTTGTGTAGGAACAATAGGGAAGGAATTGAAATGCAATCTCTTAATACACGTCAGTCGAGAGTATATTTTCTACATCAATTATTATATCAACAAAAATGTGTCTCTATGCCTACTAAGTTGACAACCTTAAAGTATGAGGGATGAAATAAATGTACACACATTACCAACAGTTTGAAAGAATCTCTGGGACCCTTCGTGTGTTGTTTTTGAAGTATCTTGAAAGGATATTAGGGACCACTTGTGTTTTGTTTTTGAACTAATTTGAAAAAATCTTGGGGATTCATCCTTTGGGTTTTATTTTTTAAGTAGTTTGAAAGGACCTCAGGGGTCCCTTGTGTCTTGTTTTTGAAATAATTTGAAAGAATCTCAGGGATCTTTCTCTGTATTGTTTTTGCAGCAATTTGAAAGAATTTTGAGGACCCCCCCGTGGGTTTTGTTTTTGAAGTAATTTGAAAGAATCTTGGAGATCTTTGGGATTTTTTTTGAAGTAGCTTGAAACAATCTCGGAGATCCCTTGTATTGTTTTTGAAGTAATTTGAAAGAATCTCAAGGACCCCTTGTGTTTTGTTTTTGAAGTAGCTTGAAAGAAACTCAAGAGACCAGTTGTGTTCTGTTTTTGAAGTAATTTTAAAAAATCTTGGGTCCCACTGTGGGTATCGTTTTTGAAGTAATTTGAAAGAATCTCGGGGATCCTTGGGTTTTGTTTTTGAAGTAGCTTGAAAAAATCTCGGGAACCCTTCATATTTTGTTTTTGAAGTAGCTTGAAAGAATCTCAGGGCCCACTTGTGATATGTTTTTGAAGTAGCTTGAAAGAATCTCGGGAAACTCTTGTCTTGTTTTTGAAGTATTTTAAAAGAATCTTGGGGATCATTAGCACTTATTTTTCAAGTAGCTCGAAATTATCTCGGAGATCTCTTGTATTGTTTATGAAGTAATTTGAAGGAATCTCACGAACCCCTTGTGTTTTGTTCATGAAGTGGTTTGAAAGAATCTCAGGGACTACTTGTGTTGTGTTTTTGAAGTATTTTGAAAGAATCTTGGGGACCTACTGCGGGAGTGCGGGTCTCGTTTTTGAAGTAATTTGAAAGAATCTCGGGGATTTTTGGGTTTTATTTTTGAAGTAGCTTGAAAGAATCTCGGAGATCTTTTATCTTCTTTTTGAAGTAATTTGAAAGAATCTCGGAAACCCTTGGGGTTTGATTTTTGAAGTAGTTTGAAAGGACCTCGGGCATCTCTTATCTTGTTTTTGAAGTAATTTGAAAGAATCTCAAGGACCCCTTGTGTTTTGTTTTTAGAGTAGCTTGAAAGAATCTCAGGGACTACTTGTGTTCTGTTTTTGAAGTAATTTTAAAAAATCTTAGGGACCTACTGTGGCTATCGTTTTTGAAGTAATTTGAAAGAATCTCGGGGATCCTTGGGTTTTGTTTTTGAAGTAGCTTGAAAAAATCTCGGGAATCCCTTATGTTTTGTTTTTAAGTATTTTGAAAGAATCTTGGGGACCCTTCATATTTTGTTTTTGAAGTAGCTTGAAAGAATCTCAGGGGCTACTTGTGTTGTGTTTTTGAACTATTTTGAAAGAATCTTGGGGACCTACTGCGGGAGTGCGGGTCTTGTTTTTGAAGTAATTTGAAAGAATCTCGGGGATTTTTGGGTTTTATTTTTGAAGTAGCTTGAAAGAATCTCGGAGATCTTTTATCTTCTTTTTGAAGTAATTTGAAAGAATCTCGGGAACCTTTGGGGTTTGATTTTTGAAGTACTTTGAAAAGACCTCGGGGATTTCTTATCTTGTTTTCGAAGTAAACTGAAAGAATCTCAAGGACTTCTTGTTTTGTTTTTGAAGTAGCTTGAAAGAAACTCAAGGACCACTTGTGTTCTGTTTTTGAAGTAATTTTAAAAAATCTTAGGGACCTACTGTGGCTATCGTTTTTGAAGTAGCTTGAAAAAATCTCGGGAACCCCTCATGTTTTGTCTTTAAGTATTTTGAAAGAATCTTGGGGACCCTTCATATTTTGTTTTTGAAGTAGCTTGAAAGAATATCAGGTATCTTTCTCCGTACTGATTTTGAAGCAATTTGGAATAATTTTGAGGATTTACTGCGGGTTTTGGTTTTGAAGTAATTTGAAAAAATCTTGGGGACCCTTCATATTTTGTTTTTGGAGTAGCTTGAAAGAATCTCGGGGAATTCTTGTCTTGTTTTTGAAGTAATTTGAAAGAATCTCAGGGATCTTTAGAATTCATTTTTCAAGTAGCTCGAAACAATCTCGGAGATCTCTTGTATTGTTTTTGAAGTAATTTGAAGGAATCTCACAAACCCTTGTGTTTTGTTCATGAAGTGGTTTGAAAGAATCTCGGGAATTTTTGGGTTTTATTTTTGAAGTAGCTTGAAAGAATCTCGAAGATCTCTTATCTTCTTTTTGAAGTAATTTGAAAGAATCTCGGAAACCCTTGGGGTTTGATTTTTGAAGTAGGTTGAAAAGACCTCGGAGATCTCTTATCTTGTTTTTGAAGTAATTTGAAAGAATCTTAAGGACCCCTTGTGTTTTATTTTTGAAGTAGCTTGAAAGAAACTTAGGGACCACTTGTGTTCTGTTTTTGAAGTAATTTTAAAAAAATCTTGGGAACCCACTGTAGGTGTCGTTTTTGAAGTAATTTGAAAGAATTTCGGGGATTTTTCGGATTTATTTTTGAAGTAGCATGAAATAATCTCGGAGATCTCTTGTATTGTTTTTGAAGTAATTTGAAGGAATCTCACGAAGCCCTTCTGTATTGGTCATGCAGTAGTTTGAAAGAAACTCAGGGACTACTTGTATTTTGTTTTTGAAGTAATTTGAAAGAATCTTGGGGATCTTTGTGATTTATTTTTCAAGTAGCTCGAAACAATCTCGGAGATCTCTTGTATTGTTTTTAAAGTAATTTGAAGGAATCTCACGAAACCCATGTGTTTTCTTCTTGAAATAGTTTGAAAGAATCTCAGGGACTACTTGTGTTTTTGAAGTATTTTGAAAGAATCTTAGGGAACTACTGCGGGAGTGTGGGTCTTGTTTTTGAAGTAATTTGAAAGAATCTCGGGGATTTTTGGGTTTTATTTTTGAAGAAGCTTGAAAGAATCTTGGAGATCTCTTATCTTCTTTTTGAAGTAATTTTAAAGAATCTCGGGAACCCTTGGGGTTTGATTTTTGAAGTAGTTTGAAAGGCCCTCGGGGATCTCTTATCTTGTTTTTGAAGTAATTTGAAAGAATCTCAAGGACCTCTTGTGTTCTGTTTTTGAAGTAATTTTAAAGAATCTTGGGGATCTACTGCGGGTCTCGTTTTTGAAATAATTTGAAAGAATCTCGGAGATCCTTGGGTTTTGTTTTTGAAGTAGCTTGAAAAAATCTTGGGAACCCCTTATGTTTTGTTTTTAAGTAGTTTGAAAGAATCTCGGGGACCCTTCATGTTTTGTTTTTGAAGTAGCTTGAAAGAATCTCAGGGGCCACTTATGTTCTCTTTTTGAAATAATTTTAAAGAATATTGGGGACCTACTGTGTGTCTCGTTTTTGAAGTAATTTGAAAGAATATCGGGGACCTTTGGGCTTTATTTTTAAAGTAGCTTGAAAGAATCTCGGATATTTCTTGTCTTGTTTTTGAAGTAATTTGAACGAATTTCATGAACTTCTTGTGTTTTGTTCATGAAGAAGGTTGAAAGGATCTTAGGGACCACTTGTGATTTGTTTTTTAACTAATCTGAAAGAATCTCGGGGATCCTTTGGGTTTTATTTTTGAAGTAGTTTGAAAGAATCTCGGGGACTCTTTGGGTTTTGTTTTTGAAGTAGCTCGAAGAAATCTCGGGAACTCCTTATGTTTTGTTTTTAAGTAGTTTGAAAGAATCTCGGGAACCCTTGATGTGTTGTTTTTGAAGTAGCTTGAAAGAATTTCGGAGAACTCTTGTCCTGTTTTTGAAGGAATTTGAAAAAATCTCGGAGACCCCTTATGTTTTGTTTTTGAAGTAGCTTGAAAAAAGCTCAGGGACCACTTGTCTTTTGTTTTTGAAGTAGTTTGAAAAAATCTCGGAGATCTTTTTCCGTATTGTTTTTGAAGCAATTTGAAAGAATCTTGGGGACCCCCTGTGGATCTTATTTTTGAAGCATTTTGAAAGAATCTCGGGGACCCCTTATGTCTTATTTTTGAAATAATTTGAACGAATCTCGGGGTTCTCTTATGTTTTGTTTGTGAAGTAGTTTGAAAAAATCTTGGGAATCCTTTGTCATGTTTTTGAATTAATCGGAAACAATCGCGTCAATCTCACTGTCAGAAGAAGTACACTCACCAGTAACAAGCTCTCCCACGACATCCATCGAATAGGAAGTCTGGCTTTCGTATCACTAATGTAGTAGTCCGATTCGTATCTATCGCAATACATGGCATGATCGGATATTTTCACAGTGAAGCTCTTATCTATTACACAATTCCTACAAAAGAAAAAAACACATACAGTAATAACCTCACAGTAATTTCAAGCAGAGCTTTAATTGAAAATAGAGTCGAAGGGGATCCAAATCGATAATCTGTGGCCGTCTAGACAAATCTACTTCAAATATTCGCTGTATTTAACTTTTAATTGCTGCAGTTCTGTGTTTGCTTTTTTAAATGGCAGGAATAGAAATCCGGGTTCATTAAGGAGAGTGAATTCCCGAAACACTCAAAAAGAAAAGTAATAGTTCAAATTATTCAAGTAAAACAGTATCCTGTTAGTCCGCCATTACTTTAAAATGCAAGCAGACGTTTTGTTTTGAGTACAAACAAGCTTTGAAACTGCAGTGCTTTGTTTTTAAAGGTACACACTTTAATTAAAATGTTATAATTAATGTGGACAAAAGAATTTACTTTGTGTGTTTGTTTGCACGAGATTATTAGTAACAACACATATGCATTCGCATCATGTGCACACCATTACAATAAAGCTTAACTGATATACGACGACAAACAGTAATTGTAAATTTATTAAATTAATAACTATTGATAAAGCGAGAATTTATTTACATAGCACATGTACAGCAAACCACATTTCAACGAAATAAATTGTTTCACATCGGTGAAGTGGAAAACATAAAGTATTGTCCATTTAATACCAATGTACAAGGTCGAATTAGTGAGATTAAAAATAAACAACGAAATAATGAAACGTTAATGCTGTTTTATTTAATTTAACTGAGTGTCCAAATTATAGCATACAGTTCCATGAAATTAATTTTTGAAACATTGGTTGACAATGTTTGCAGGGAAATTATAGAGACTGTGCTATTTAATCTTCACATGATTTCCATTAGGTAAATTACGAAATTTGTGGTGATATCAAACCATTTTTTTACAACTCAAACTTTGGTGATTAACTAAAAACGTTATCAAAAAGGCTAGCAGAAACAAACAACAAAAATTTAAAAACAATCATACATATTTTTTGTTTGCTTACCTTGCGGCTAAATCCCTGTGGACCAAGTCTAAAGATTCTAGGTACTTCATCCCGGAAGCAATCTGGGTGGCTACGTATATGAGACAGCCGTAACTGAAAAAACAGGTAATATGTTAATTAAGGTGCGAAGCCCTCGAAAAAGAATCGAGCGAATGCGCACACAGAATAATCGTTTTGTCTGAAAGCAGCGGCTTCATGACGCACAACTTCCATGGACATTAAATTGAAAACGGCTGAAAAAGCTCCCTTTGAGAGTGCAGCGAGGCACATTTTCATTCACTCGAAAGAGGTTCCAAAGTTTTTTGCGTTGAATGCCCCCATTTTTATATGTAATTAGCTCAGTAGGGGACGGAGAGTTATTTCGCCTTTTCTAATCGTAAATAAAATAGCATTTACAAACAAATTCAATTGAATTAAGTTCATGTTTAAGAACACGTCACTAAATTTAAAACGAAAACTTAGATTCCGTGAATGTGGGAAAATTGTTTTGAAACCTTTTATATTTTTAGATCGAGAAAACAATTATCTTGATAAAAAAAAAACAAAAGAAACTAAAGAATAAAAAAATTACGAATATCTTTACTTGGAGGTTTTGCAGTGCCGGTTGAAAGGTAATTTTCCAAACGGAAAGATTGTACTTAATTTATTTAATCTAATCTGATCCGGTAATTATTATCATTCAACGATTAATTTTAACAAAAAAAATATATACATATATCGCATGGGAAAATTACTCTTACGAACATTCAAATAAAATTAACGCTTTTTAATATCTCTTTAAATTCAGAATTAAAAAATTAATAGTTTTTATTTCATTTTAATAAGAATTAATGATTATTTGCTTATTTGAAACAATTTGCATTTTTATGTTGCATGTATTCCGGACTCATATGAGAAAACTAAAGCTTTTTCATCCTAGTTGGGAAAGGAGTGGTAAGCACACCACTCCCATGCGAGGAGAAACAACAAATATTATTTCACAGTTACACTTACATTTTCTCTAAGATCTCATTATATAATTCAGATATAAAATTTTAAAACTAAATTTAATTTAAACATTTATTTTATGTAGAGTGGAAATATTTTTAGAAGAACACCCTAACAAACCGACTTTTAGTGGACGGAGAGTTCGGATATGTCCATTTGTCAATTTAGGGGGAGGAAAATGTACTGATTGAAATGTGTGATTCCTACTCTTCTGGCAAAGTTGCCTAAAAATCCACCAAACAATTCGGGGATATAAGTACATACCGACAAACTTTTTCGAAAAACATAGTCTATTCGTGGCCCCAGACCAAGATTTTCGACATTTTTGGTTTCAAAATCGAATTTTTTGAATATCCAAAAAATTATCATATTTTTCTTTCGTCGTTCTGAAAAAGTATCTGGAATTTTCGAAGAAATGAACAAGGAAAATGACAAGTAGAAATTACAAAAAAGCTCTTTTTAGGTACTTTTGGAAAGTCTCCTGGAAAAGGTTAAAAATATCAAATTTGGGCTTTAACAAAGTGGCCGAAAAAACAAAGAATTATGGCATTTAAATCTGGACAAGTTAATTCGAAAAATAGAGGCTGCTGATGGATCAGACTTTCGAAGCTTTCGGTTTCAACCCAAATTTTTTAAAAATTCCAAAAATTGCCATATTTTGGAAAAATGGTTGGAATTTCTTTCGAAGAAATGAGGCCGAAAATAACTTCTGCAAGTCTAAATTAATAAATAACTTTGTTTAGGTAAAGGTAAAAAATTTCAAAAGTGAATTGAATATTTTCCAAAAATAACCATATTTTGTTTTGATAAATCTGAAGAAGTACCTTGAATTTTCGAAGAAATGTTGCCAAAAATAACTTCTGAAGTCCAAATAAACAAAAAACTTTCTTTAGGTAATTTTCAAATATGTTCGGAAAAAGTAAAAAATTTAAATTTGAGCTTTTGGCAAAGTTGCCCAAAAACACAAAATACTATGGTATATTTTTTATTTTTCTTTTTTTCAGCCAATACGTCTAACACATTTGGTATTTCTTTAAGAATTTCATCTAGATACAATTCGCGACGAACTAATTCCAAGAATAATGGACCCAAATCAAGATTTTCAAAATTTTCTGTATCTAAATCTTCTTTTCGATTCTAGTTGAAATTTTTGATGAAATCAAGCCGAAAATAACTTTTTTCAAGCGTTTAAAAAGGTCAAAAATTCCAAAAGGAGGGTATTTGAGCTTTTGGCAAAATTGCCTAAAAATACACAAAATATAATGGGATTAATCCAGACGAGTTAATTCGAAAAACCGAAAGACATAGTCTTATTAATGCACCCAGACCCAGATTTTCTAAATTTTCGGTTCCAAAATCAAATTTTCAAAATATCCCAAAAACTGACATATTTTGAAAAAATGGCTGGAATTTTCGAAGAAATGAAGCCGAAAATAACTTCTCCAAGCCAAAATCAATAAATAAATAACTTTCTCTAAGTAAAGTTCAAAAATTTTAAAAACGAATCGAAAATTTGATATAAATCTCAGCAAGCTATCGCAATTCTAAAAACAGCCAATTCAAAATTTCCAAAAGGGGGTATACTGCAAATTTGAGCTTCTCGCAAAATTGCCTAAAAACAAAATATTATGGGCTATAAATCTGGATCAGCTAATTCGAAAAAGCCAAAAACATAGCTTCTAAATGGGCCCAGACCAAGATTTTCGAAATTTTCGGTTTCAAAAACAAATTTGCAACATATCTCAAAAATTGATATTGAATTGATCTTGCGATTTTGAAAAAATGGCTGGAATTTTCGAAGAAATGAACCCGAAAATAACTTTTTTAGGTAATTTTCGAAAGTGTTTTGAAAAAGCCCAATAATTTTATAAGGGGTATTCAAAAATTGAGCTTTTGGCAAAGTTGTTTATAAATCCACCCAAAACTATAGCCTTTCGATGGTCCCAAAGTAATATTTCGACATTTTTGGTTTCACAAAAAAGTTTTTAAAAAATCCACAAATGACCAATTTTCCGAGAAATGTTGCCGAAAATATCTCCTGCAAATGTCGATTTGCAGAAGCTGCAAAACACTCCTTGGGTAATTTTCAAAAGAGTTCAAAAAAAGGTCAAAAATGTCAAGGGGGCGGGTATTGAAAATTTGGGCTTTTGGCCAAGTGGCCTAAAAATCTACAAACAAATTCTGAAATATCAATCAATTGGAAAAACATTGCCTGTTAATGGACCAGACTAAGATTTTCGAAATTTTCGGTTTTAAAATCAAATATTTAAAATATCCCAAAAATGGTAATAATTTTTTGACGATTCTGGAAATATAGTAATAAGTCGAAATCAACAAGTGCTTGGGAAAAAGATCAAATATTACATGGGGGGTTGGGGGGTATTGAAAAAAGTCGAAATCAACAAAAAAATCCAAAAATGATCATATTTTATTTTGGCGATTCTGAAAAAGTACTCGAAATTCTTGAAGAACTGGTGTCGAAAATGACTTCTGCAAGTCGACATCAACAAAAAAACGCTCCTTGGGTAACTTTCAAAAGTGCTCGTAAAAAGGTCAAAAATATCGAGGGGCAGATATTAAAAATTTGATTTGGCCAAGTTGTTTAAAAACCTACGAACAGATTCTGAAATATCGATTCAGTTCGAAAGACAGTCTGTTGACAGTTCGCACCAAGATTTTCGAAATTTTTGTGTTTTAAAATCAAAAATTTAAAATATGGATACTAAAAATGGTCATATTTTTTTGACGATTGTGGAAAGACAGTTAGAAAAAAATCTATGTAATTTTCAAAAGTGCTCGAAAGGTCAAATATTACATAGAGGGTTAAGGGGTATTGAAGACGTAGAAATCAACAAAAAAATCCAAAAATAACTATATTTTATTTTGCCGATTCTGAAAAAGTGCTGGAAATTTTCGAAGAAATGTCGACGTAACAAAAAACGTAGGTAACTTTCAATTCGAAAAATATAGTCTGTTGATGGTCCAGACCAAGATTTTCGAAATTTTAATATCCTAGAAATGGTCATATTTTTTGACGATTCTGGAAATATAGTTAAAGACATGTAATCGAAAATGGCTTTTTCAAGTCGAAATCAACAAAAAATATTTTGCGATACTCTCAAAAATTTTCAAAGTTATTGAGAAATTGAGTTTTTGGCAAGAGTTGCGTAAGGATCTATAAAAACTTGTAAGATATATTTAGAAATTGACGGGCTAATTCGTAAAAATAGCCCGTTTATAGTCCCAGATCAAGATTTTCGAAATTTTCGGTATCAATACCAGGTTTTCTCAAAAAATGGCTACTTTTAAGTTTGGTGATTCTGTAAAAGAAAAGTTCCTTCCCTGAACTCAACAGTGGCTCGTTTCATCTTATCATGGTTTACGACTCTTTTTAATTCATGTCTTAAAAATTAATCTGGTTTAAAAAATACATAAATGAAAATCTACTTTTCAGAATGCCCCCGTTTTGGAACGCAAATCATATCTACGTCACTGGTCAAAGATAGATGAGAAATGTGATGACTGAAGTTCTTTTTTCATAGCATTGCTAAAATATTATTAAAAACTAAACTGGTCAAGTAATTGAATACAGGACTTTTCTCCCTCTGAAGTACAAGTTCAATAAGTCGAGTTCCTTAGATAAATTATAAAATTATATGGCATTATTTTTTTTGTAATAGTTATCTGTGAAAATTGAGACAGATTCCGCTCCACCAAGTGACTGATAATTCAAAAATTTATTTATACCTATTAAAAATTTAGAAAGAGTTTTGTGAAAAAGCAGAGTTCTTATCTAAATTATATGAAAGAGAGAAATTTACTTTTGAAAGAAAAAGATTGTGGAAAAAAATATCTCGTTATTTGAAATTTGATTTTTACTTCGCTACAGATAATAATTAAATGTAAGGAAGTATAGTAACAAAATTATTTAGAATTAAAATATTCTACTTCTTTATCTCTGCCCTTAAACAGTTGAAAAGTTATTAAACAAATAAGGTTCAGCACTGCTTTGTTGAAAATTTCAAAAATTGACGTAATCTAAAAATGTTGCTAATTAATTTTACCTCTTACTTTGTTACTTTTACAGTTGATCTATAATTTAAAGT